TTAATTCCTGCTAGTACTATACTAGGTGCTGGAGACAGTTCTGGACCCAAGAAGTTCACAGTGTGTTGGAGGAACTGAAAAGTAAAAGAACAAGGTACAATGTTCAAAGAAGTATGCACAAAATCTAAAAGCCTTGTGGAGTGGGCGACCCCTCGGGGCGGGATAGGGAAATGGCGGGTACAACGGTTTGTTGTCCACGTGCTTGCTGGTTCTCCAAAGATTCCGCGGGGGCAGTTCCAGTAGAACCAGTTCTCCGAGGTCACAGCTCTCTGGCCCCGGGGGGCACGAGGGGACCCTGGCGCCTCCAGACGAAGGAATGTTAGCAGCACAAGGGTCCTATTTGAAAGATGCGGGATGGAGTTTGCAGCCTGAAGATGGGATGCAGGAAAAGACGAATAGTTTGTCTAAATTCTCTCCTTTTCTCACATCGGAGAGAGAAGATCAGGAATGATGGAAATCGGGCTTTTTGGGAAGCGAGTAGAGACCAAAAGCCTCAGGTCGACTGGCTTCGGGATCTTTGTTCCTAGTCCTAGGCCTCCGCACCGGGCCGGAACTCTAGTGTCAAAGCGCCTGGTTTGGCGCCGGGCCGTAAAAGCAGATGGACCTGCACCGGAAGTGGAGTGTCCGGTCGGGAAAAGCTGGGGATCCGGGCAGAGGCCACCCTGGAACCCCGGTGGGGAGGGCAAGTGGCCTCTGCTGGCCGTTCGTGTCCGGAGCGAGCGAGGGCGACGCAGCCTGGCAGGTGAGGGGTGAGGGCATCACACCCCGACTCGGATTGGGAGCTGTAATGACCTCGGTAGTTTAATCTTGGAACCTCCGTGTTCTCATCTCTGTAATGGTGAGAGTACCTCTCCCAGAGTTGTTGTGAGGAGTCAATGGAAATATATTTAGAACAGTTTCTGGCACATGGAAGACCCTAGATATGCAATCTTTATAAAGACTGCTCCGTTTAGCTGCGTCAAAAGCCACGAACTTTCAGTCTGGGATCACCCGTTAACGGGTTTGACTTTATTGGTAAAAATACGAAACAGACATTTATCATTAAAGTTGTATTAGAGCCGAAACCTTGCTGCTATAAGACTAAGAATAGCCGAAACTGGTTTGGCTCAGTGGATAGAGCGTCGGCCTGAGGACTGAAAGGACCCAGGTTCGATTCCAGTCAAGGGCATGTACATTGGTTGCGGGCACATCCCCAATAGGGGGTGTGCAAGAGGCATCTGATCGATGATTCTCTTTCATTGTTTCTAACTCTCTATCCCTCTCTCTTCCTCTCTGTAAAAAAAAATCAATAAAATATATATTTAAAAAAAAATAAAATAAAATAAAATTGTATTAGAGACGGTTTACCGAGGGTTTGGAAAATAGGATGAATATTACTCATAATCCCATCATCCTCTACTAGACTTTAAGACTTTTATTCCCTCCTCTCCCCCATCTAAATATAATTTTTAAAAAAAAAATATTTCTTGCCGAGGCTGGTTTGGCTCAGTGGATAGAGCGTTGGCCTGTGGACTGAAAGGTCCCAGGTTCGATTCCCGTTAAGGGCATGTACTTTGATTTCGGGCACATCCCCGGTGGCGGGGGGGGGGGGGGGATGTAGGAGGCAGCTGATCGATGTTTCTCTCTCTATCCTTCTCCCTTCCTCTCTGTAAACAATAAAATATATTTAAAAATATTTATTTCTTTATTGATTTCAGAGAGGAAGGAAGAGGGAGAGAGAGAAACATCAATGAGAGAGAGAATCATTGATTGACTGTCTCCTGTATGCCCCCTATTGGGTATCGAGCCCACAACCTGGGCATGTTTCCTTGGCAGAAATCGAACCTGGGACCCTTCAGTCTGCAGACCAATGCTCTATCCACTGAGACAAACCGGCTAGGGCCCAAATATAATTTTTAAAAATATGTGGAGACAACCTACAGTGGGGTTGTCTCCAAAGCCCAGGACTTTTTATTTTGAGGATACGTTTATTAAAGTTGGAGACAAGGAAAGGCTTAGGATAGAAGGAACAACGAGAGAGAGACTAGCTGAAACCGGTTTGGCTCAATGGATGGAGCGTCAGACTGCAGACTGAAGGGTCCTGGTTCGATTCCGGTCAAGGGCATGTACCTTGGTTGCAGGTACATTCCCAGTGGGGGTGTGCAGGAGGCAGCTGATCGGTGTTTTTAACTCTATATCTCTCCCTTTCTCTCTGTAAAAAAATCAATTAAAAAACAAAACAAAACTCAAGAGAGAGACTAGAGGGGCCTACCTTTGCTCTCTAGAAAGCTATGGCCAAGAAGAGCCTAGGCAGGGCTGCTGCAGCTCACTGCAGAGTCAGCCAAAAGGGGGCCTTGGGGACAGGTTCAGGGGGTTAGCCCGCCATGCGAGGCTGCTGCCCATTGCTTCCCTGGTTGCGAGTCTTGTGGGGGGAGAGAGGGTATCCCTTAGAGTTGGGAGATGCATGCCTGAGGGGAAGGGGAAAGACACTGGTGTCCTCTTGGGAGGGAGAGTGCCTCTGTACATCTGTGTACTTGTAATGTTCGCATATATAATATGATCTTGCGTATTTTATTTCCTTTTAAGGGTAGCTGGAGCAGGTAGAAGAGGGGACCATTTGGTTTTTCTGGTTTTGCCAGCACTTAAGAAATGTTGTTGCTTAGAGCCAAGTTGTTATTTTACTAGAGCGATAGAAGTTCTGTTGGTAATGCTATACATGTAGAGAGGCAGCGGCATCAAGTGGAAGGACTTCAGCCCAGCGTACTAGTTCCAGATTCCATGCTGATTAACACTGTGGACTTAGGCAGGCCACTTCTTCTGTTGGTGTCCTGTTTCCCAGAGAAAGGAAATATCTACCTGCCTTGTCTTACAGAAGTCATATGTACATTAAATGTGATACGTCAAGGTGGCTTGAAAACATTAAGAATGGTAATTAAATGTGGTAGTATTAGTGTTACTGTTTATTTCTATCTTTGAGGACCTCAGATAGTGGTAGTGATAGTCAAAGCCTTGTTACTCAAAGTGTGAGCCTTGGACTAGGAGCTTAAGAGATATGAAGAATCTTGGAGATCCTGTTAGACTTACTGGATCAGAGACCCTTCTTATAGCCATCATTCCGTCTGATCTTCAGAAAAATCCCTTCACGTAGGTAAGGGAACTTTTACCCCCAAGGAAATGGAGACCTCAGAAGATCATCCTGAGGGTAAACAGCGTTAGCAGATTTAGTCATATGAAATTGCCAATATTTACAATACGTACAACCTAATAGAAGGACAGGACTAGGAGTCAAGTCAAAGTTTTCTTTTTTTTAAAAAAACATCGTACCTGGAATTTTCCTTTTTTAAAGATGTTTTTATTGATTTCAAAGAGGAAGGGAGAGGGAGAGAGGAAATAGAAACATCAATAATGAGAGAGAATCATCGATTGGCTGCCTCCTGCACACCTTTTACTGGGGATCAAGCCCATAACCCAGGCATGTGCCCTGACCTGGAATCAAACCTCTGATCTCTTGTTTCATGGGTTGACGCTCAACCACTGAACCACACCACTGTGCAAGTCCCAAGTGTTCTGATTCCATATTCAATGCACACATCTAAATCCTTTTTTTTCTTCTTAATCTTCAAACGAGGATATATTTTTTGTTACTGTTTTTTTAAAAAATATTTTTTTTATTGACTTCAGAGAGGAAGGGAGAGGGAGAGAAACGTAATGATGAGAGAGAATCATGCATCAGTTGCCTCCTGCATGCCCCCGACCAGGGGTTGAGCCCTCAGCCTGGGCATGGGTCCTCGTCTGGAATTAAACTCGGGACACTTCAGTCCCCAGGCCAATGCTATATCCACTGAACCAAACCGACTAGGGCATCATTGATTTTTAAAAAATATATTTTATTGATTTTTTACAGAGAGGAAGAAAGGGATAGAGAGTCAGAAACATCCGTGAGAGAGAATCATCGATCAGCTGCTTCCTGCACACCCCCTACTGGGGACGTGCCTGCAACCAAGGTACATGCCCCTAACCGGAATCGAACTCGGGACCTTTCAGTCCACAGGCTGTGACGCTCTATCCAGTGAGCCAAACTGGTTTTGGCATCACTGATTTCTGAGAGAGAGAGAGAGAGAGAGAGAGAGAGAGAGAGAGAGAGAGAGAGAGAATATGAGAACACGGGAACATGGATTGGTTACCTCCCCTAGGTGCCCCATCCAAGAATTGAACCTGCAACCTTTTGGTATACAGGATGATGCTCCAACCAACTGAGCCTTGTGCCCAGGGCTGTAAGTCCTCGTCTTATGAAGTGCTACTGAAAGGGTTAAAGATACTAACATGTCAGTTAGCTTAGCTCCTAGAGTGAATGAGTTTGGTACTTTATTCTAGAAACCGATGATTTCTTAAAAATCCAGTCCTGCTCAGTGGCTCAGTGGATAGAGTGTCGGCCAGCAGGTTCGATTCTGGTCAAGGGCACATGCCCAGGTTGTGGGCTCGATCCCCAGTGCGGGACTTGCAGGAGGCAGCCGATCCATGATTCTCTCTCATTATGGATGCTCCTCTCTCTCTCCCCCTCCCCCTCCCCCTCTCTCCCTTCATCTCTGAAATCAATAAAAAATATATTTTAAAAAATCCAGTCCTGGTGGAATTGCCAAAAAATAAAACAAAACCGGAAAAACAAAACAAGCATAAAATTTTGTTTTAAAATGAACGCAATCTTTTGAAACACATACTTCAATTATTTTGGGGTTGATATTTATTTTGGTATTTTTTTTCCCCCACAAGGCAGCTGGATGCATTATGTATAGTGCAAACGTATTCTCGTCATATGTCCTGGATAAATGTTTATAGGGTTAGACAATAAATGCATGAATTTCACAATATATGATCTACGTTGAATTTGAAATTGTGATATATTTTTTGCTACACTTGTAACTCTTCAATGTCTCTTCTGTTATAGGTGGAATTGTGCTATTAGCTGAAGCTTTTTCCCCTGGTAGCCCAGGGAGAAATTTACATTTCGACTTTTCCTTACCATGGCTCTGGTTCACAAATTGCTGAATGGCACTTATATTCTCAGGAAAAGCCTAAAGCCAAGTGGAGCCTCGTGTCCATTTCTGAGCACCCGCTTCGCGGACTATTGCTCCAGCAGTCTTCAGAAGCCAGCGGCTACTCCTAGCAAAGTTTCCGCTCAGAGGAACTCTGCAGGGGGTTTGCAAGGAGATCACCAGAGAGAAGTTGCTTTGGATGTAACTTCTCCTGAGGAGAAGCCCGAAGTTAGTTTTGATAAAGCAATTAGAGATGAAATCAAGGAACATTTTTGGCGTTTGAAGGATGAGATTGTGAACCATTGGATAGGGCCCGAAGGCCGCCCTATGCAGGAGGTCATTCTGGAACAAGCCAGAGTTATCTGGCAGTTCCGCGGAAAAGAAGATTTGGATAAGTGGATAGTGACCTCGGATAAGACGATTGGAGGCAGAAGTGAAGTGTTCCTGAAAATGGGCAAGAACAACCAGAGTGCACTGCTGTACGGAACCCTGAGCTCCGCGGCACCTCAGGATGGGGAGAACAGTCAGAGCGGATACTGCGCAATGATATCCAGGATCCCAAGGGTAGGTTAGGCCCAGCAGCTTGAGTTTTTCTGGTGAATTGGGGTGAACATTGTAGCATGAACTGTAGTGAGAGTTTCTGTAAATGAAAACACCTGGCATCTCATCTCGTCTGGGGTTGTATAGCTATGGGGCACAAGTACAAAGCTGGTTCCTTAGGGTGGACGTAGGGTCAGTCTGTACCTTTTTATTTATTTTAATTAAAGTAAACTTAATTTTAAATATTTTTAAAAAATATATTTTATTGATCTTTTACAGAGAGGAAGAGAGAGGGATAGAGAGTTAGAAACATTGATGAGAGAGAATCATCAACCAGCTGCCTCTCACACACCCCCTACAGGGGATGTGCCCGCAACCAAGGTACATGCCCTTGACCGGAATCGAACCTGGGACCTTTCAGTCCGCAGGCCGACGCTCTATCCACTGAGCCAAACCGGTTTCGGCTAAACTTAATTTTAGAGTAGAGTAGAGAAAAATTGCAAAGTAGTACAGAGCGTCCCTCACCAAGCTTCTCCAGTTGTTACCATCTTACATTACTTTAGTACATTGTCACAACTAAGAAACCAACAGTTGTGCATTATTATTAACTAGTTCCAGACTCTATTTGAATTACACTAGCTTTTCCACTAGTATTCTATTTCTGTTTCAGGATTCCATCCAGGATTTTACATTACATCTAGTAGTCATGTCTCCTTAGTCTCCTTTGGTCTGTGACAGTTTCTTAGTCTTTTCTTATTTTTCATGAGGATTTGAAAAATACTGGTTAGGTATCCTTCTATATAATAAAGAGCTAATATGCTAATTAGGCTGAACAGCAGAATGACTGTCCAGACAACCTTCTGGGCAACCTTCCAGATGAAGGCGGGGCTGCGAGGGGCTGGGAGGGCTGAGCCCCTGCATGAATTTTGTGCATCAGTCCTCTAGTTATACAGTGACCCTCAGTTTGGGATTTTCTGATTAGACTGGGGATCTGGTCTTTTTTCTCCTGGTTAGACAGGGGATCTGGGTTTTTAGGAAGAATGCCACAAAGTTAAAGTACCCTTTTCATTACATCGTCTGAAAGATGCATGCTGCGCCCTGGTCAGAGAGCTCGGTTGGAGCGTTGTCCCAATATTCCAGAGTTTTGGTTTTGGTCCCTGTCATATAACAGGAGTCAACCAACGACTGCGTAGATAAGTGGAGCAACAAAAATCAATGTTTTGCTTTCTCTCAAGTCAATAAATAAAAAAAGATATAATTTCTTTAAAAAGAAAAGGTATGTGCTAACAACATGACATCACTGATGTGTTAACCTTGATCACTTGGACAAGGTAGTGTTTGCCAGGTTACTCCATTGCTGAGTTCCTTTTTTTTTTTTTTTTTTTAAGAATAGTTTATTGATTTTTAGAGAGAGAGGAAGAGAAAAACATCGATGTGAGAGCACAGCATCCATCTGCTGCCTTCTCTACCCAACCCAGGCATGTGCCCTGACCAGGAACCGAACTGTGACCTGGTTCATAGGTCGATGCTCTACCACTGAGTTATGCCTGTCGAGCTTTTTTCTTCTTTCTATACCATGTGCTTTGGAAGCAAGTCACTAAGTGTACCCTTCTTTCAAGATGGGAAGGTTGTAGGATTAAATTATTTCTCCTGAAAGGTGTACTATACACATAAATTACTTGGGATTCTTAAGAAAGAAAGATTTGTTTCTTCTACCACATTTATTTATTTGTTAGTATGGACTCACACTTTGGGTTATAATCCAACAATATGTTTTTATTTTGTTGCTGAAATTGTTCTACCTTTGGCCACGGAGTTCTTTTAGGTTGGCTCCTGTCCCTTGATCTCCCCCTATCCTTTTGAAAAAAAATATTTTTATTGATTTTCAGAGAGGAAGGGTGAAGGAAAGATCCATGTGAGAACAAAACATCAATTGGCTCCTCTTGTGTGCCCTCTATTGGTGATAGAACTCGAAACATGTGCATGTGCCTTGACCGGAAATCGAACCGTTAACTCTGGTGCACAGGATGACGCCCAGCCAACTGAGCCACACCTGCCAGGGCCCCATCCGTGTGTGTGTGTGTGTGTGTGTGTGTGTGTGTGTGTGTGTTTAGCACATTTGGCTCTATAAGATGTTCTAGCTCATCTTGTATTTCCCTTGTACCAACCCTAGGATAAGCCATTTCTCAAAAGAGCTCTGGTTTCTTTTTTTTTTTTTTTATGGAGGATTAGAAACCAAGATCTGGCCAAAGCTGATTTGGCTCGGTGGATAGAGCGTTGGTCTGCGGACTGAAAAAATCAATAAAATATGTTTAAAAAAAAAGAAAGAAAGAAAGAAAGAAAGAAAGAAAGAAAGAAAGAAAGAAAGAAAGAAAGAAAGAAACAAACAAACAAACAAACAAACCAGGATCTGGGCAATGAGTTTACTTTTTAAAAAAATATATTTTATTGATTTTGTACAGAGAAGAAGGGAGAGAGAGAGTTAGAAATATCAATGAGAGGAGTCATAGATCAGCTGCCTCTTGCACACCCCCTACTGGGATATGCCCACAACCAAGGTACATGCCCTTGACCGGAATCGAACCCGGGACCTTTTAGTCCCCAAGCCGACGCTCTATCCATTGAGCCAAACCGGTTTCGGCATGAGTTTACTTGTTGTTACTGGGATGACACTATATCTAGGAGATAAGTGGACATAGCTAGGAAGTATATGTATACATACCAACTTGTGTAAATACTTGCCTATAATTTTATAATTTCTGTATTCATATTAATTTTTTTAAATCCTCACCCAAGGATATTTTTTCCATTGATTTTTAGAGAGTGGAAGGGAGAGGAGAGATGGAGAGAAACACCAATATGAGAGAGACACATTGATTGGTTGCTTCCAGTATGCCCTGGACCAGGGCTAGGAGCCTGCAACCGAGGAACATGCCCTTGACTGGAATCGAACTTTGGATCCTTCAGTCTGCAGGCTGATGCTCTATCCACTGAGTCAAATCAGCTAGGGCCATATTAGTCTAAATATGAGTTCATACTAATGCTCTTACTTTAATTCAGTACTATGTGGTTCAGTCTGGCCTTCCTCCTCTTCTGTAACTTCATTCTGTAGCAGTGAGAAACTCATCCCCTACCAGTTACTAGTTTAACCCCAATATACATGTAAAGCAATTTCAGGATTTTTAAAAATTATATTTTTGTTGATTTCAAAGCGGAAGAGGAGGGAGAAAGAGAGAGAAACATCAATGATGAGATAGAGTCACTGATTGGCTGCCTCCTACACACTTCCTACTGGGAATGGGGCCTGAAACCGGGCATGTGCCCTGACTGGGAATCAGACTTACCATCTCTTGGTTCATTGTTCAATGCTTAACCATTGAGCCACACCATCTGGGCAGTTTTAGGATTTTTAACCCAGAACTCTGTGAGACAACTTAACCAAGTAGAATACAGTGTTTATGTATAGTTTCTTTTGTCTTTAGCCTTATAGTATCTAGTCAGAACACTATTTTCCAAAGTTACTTAGTTCTTTTATAATATCTCTCCACTGGCCTATGGTTTTTTGCAAATTTGCTGACCAGGTCTGGTTTCAGGGCTGCTCTGGACAGATTCCCAGTCTGACCTTGGCCACAGCTCTGCATGTTTGCTTGGATATTGTGCTTTAAGGAGAAACAAATGTTAGGAGTAGTATTAGGCTCCATCACTCCAGATAACGATGAAAAGGAAAGGTAGGTATTCTTCCAGAGGCAACAAATTACACACACCAACTTGTGCACACCAAGATTTTTCTCAGGCCCTGAAAATCCTCAAAATGGAATTGATAGTCCACAGCAGCAAATAATTCTATGGCTAAATATTTATTGTGGAGTAATAGAAAATGTTCATAACATTTAAAAATGTTTTTATTGATTTTTTTTAGTGAGAGAGAAAGGAAGAGGGATAGAGAGAAGGAAACCTCCTAGAGAGAAGAACATCATTGATTGGCTGCCTTCTGCATGGCCCCCCCGGGGATCAAGCCCACAACCTGGGCATGTGCCCTGATCGGGAATCGAACTGCAACCTCCTGGAACCTAGGTAGACACTCGACTGCTGGGCATGATAACATTTATTAAGTGTACCTCACATTCCTTGTGCAGATTAGTTCATATACACTGCCCCTTTTATTTCGCACAATAATATTGTAACGTATCATCATTCCAGTTTTTAAAAATATATTTTATTGATTTTTTAAAGAGAGGAAGAGAGAGGGATAGAGAGTTAGAAACATCGATGAGAGAAACATTGATCAGCTGCCTCCTGCACACCCCCTACATTAGAAACGTACTGTGTCAGTATTTTTTAAAAAAAATATATTTTATTGATTTTTTACAGAGAGGAAAGGAGAGCTAGAGATAGAGAGCTAGAAACGTCGATGAGAGAGAAACATCGACCAGCTGCCACTTGCACACCCCCCACTGGGGATGTGCCCACAACCAACGTACATGCCCCTGACCGGAATCGAACCTGGGACCTTTCAGTCGCAGACCGACACTCTACCACTGAGCCAAACCAGTTTTGGCCTGTGTCAGTATTTTGTACTAAAGTAGGAATCACTAGATTTATCTACTCCCTTGTGAGGGAATTGAATCTGAAAAAGAAAAATGATTAGTGGATCCCTTTGTTGTTATAAAAAGTGCTAACTCATATTTTGCTAATAATGTAAAATGAGGTGAAATTAACTTTCCTTTCTGTACCTTAGGGTGCTTTTGATAGAAAGAAGTCTTATGATTGGTCTCAGTTCAATACCCTGTATCTCCGTGTCCGTGGAGATGGTCGGCCTTGGATGGTGAATATCAGGGAGGACACCGATTTCATTCAGAAGAGCAATCAGATGTACAGTTACTTCATGTTCACCCGTGGTGGGCCCTACTGGCAGGAGGTCAAGGTAACAGCCCAGGTCTTTATTGTACATCTTTTGAGATCATGGTTACATTGTAATTTTTCTTATTAGTCCCTTTTGGAAAGTGTGGGAAGGGAAAGAAGGGAGAGGACCAAGGAACAAGATTTACGCAATTGACTTTTTCTTTGATTAATATATATGTTAGCCTACTAACCAGGAAATATTTTTTATATGGATATGGTCTGGTACATGCTAAGTCATGGGTACATCTCTGGTTTATGCCTAAGTAGATGTTTCTTTTAAAAAATATTTATCTGAGACAGGTTTGGCTCAGTGGACGGAGCGTCGGGAAGCGTTGGCCTGCAGGCTGAAAGGTCCCGGTTCGATTCCGGTCAGGGGCCTTGATTGCAGGCACATCCTCACTGGGGTGGTACAAGAGGCAGCTGATCGATGATTCTCTCTTATTGATATTCCTAGTTCTCTGTCCCTCTCTCTTCCTCTCTGTAAAAAGTCAATCAAATATATTAAAAAATATTTTAATATGTTTTTATTGATTTCAGAGAGAGGAAGAGAGAGGGACAGAGAGAAACATCAATGACGGGAGAGACTCGACCAGCTGCCTCCTGCATGCCCTCTACTGGGGATTGATGGGCCCTGACTGGGAATGGAACAGTGACCTTGTTCATGGGTCAACACTCAGCCCCTGAGCCACACAGGCGGGGCAGAGATTTCTTTTTAAGTTCCTGCTGTGTCACCTCTTCAGGGCTGCGCTATTAATATAGTGTCCCTAGCTTAGTAGAAGGCTTCCTTAAGAAGAATTAAATACTTCATCCTTTACAATCATCAAAATTTTTATTTCTTGGTAGTATAAGGCAGTCTTATTTTGTAAATGAGAAGCTTTGAGAAGGTAAACAATGTTAGCCAGGAGGAAAATAAGTGGAAATTCAGGAAGGACTAAATCAAGTGTCCATTCCTGTCTTCTAAATCATGAAGGTTTTTAATCCATAAACTCAAAAGAAAGTATCCATTTTGTTCATACTTAAACCTAATGCTTATCCTGGATTTCTTTCCCCGTCACCCTATATCCAGTCTATTAGTAAATCCTGTCGTAGCGACTTCCAGAGCCTGCCATTCCTGCCATCTCTTCCACTGTCCGGGCTTTGCAGCAGCTTCTTTATTGGTTTCCCCTTGTCTTCTTGCTCCCCTAAAATCCACTCTCCACACAGCCGCCGGAGTAATAGCTTTCTAAAGCATAGCTCAGAATACATCTTTCACATGCTTAAAACCCTCCAGTGGTTTTTTCCTTACTATGAGAATGAAGTCCAGACTCCTTAACATGGCCCTTTGATATCAGACCCGTTTTCACTTTCGTCTCCCCTCCTACTTCCACTCCTCCACACTGTTCCCTTTACTGTGTGTCAAATTCAGCAAGCTCATTAAAAAAAAAAAATTAAAAAAAAAATATATATTGTATTGATTTTTTAGAGAGAGGAAGGGAGAGGGGGAGAGAGAGTTAGAAACATCGATGAGAGAGAAACATCAACTAGCTGCCTCCTGCACACTCCCTACTGGGGATGTGCCCACCACCAAGGTACATGCCCTTGACTGGAATCGAACCTGGGACCCTTCAGTCCATAGGCCGATGCTCTGTCCACTGAGCCAAACCGGTCAGGGCGGTAAGCTCATTTCTGTCTGGGTCCCTTTGTACTTTGTGGTGTGTCTCCTGGGATGCTCTCCCGCATCCCTTCCCCAGCTTCTTCCCTAACATTCACCTCAGCTTGAAAGTTGCCTCACAGAGGCCTTCCTGTCCCTCTGGCTAGAGTTGCACCCTCTAATCCAGTCACTTTCTTTTACTCCTCACCTGATGATATTTCCCATTGATTTTTAAAGAGAATGGGAGGGAGGGAGACAAACATCAATGTGTGATGCATTGATCATTGATTGGTTGCCTCTCACACATGCCCTGATGGGCTGGGGATGGAACCTGCAGCTGAGTTAGGTGCCCTTGACTAGGAATTGAATCCGAGAGCCTTCCCTCTGAGGGCCAATGCTCTAACCACTAAGCAACCAGCCAGGGCTAATTCTGTAATTTTTAAAATATATATTTATTGATTTTAGAGAGGGAGAGGGAGAGCTAGAAACATCAATGAGAATCATTGATTGGCTGCCTCCTGCAGGCCCCACACTGGAGATCGAGCCCACAACTCGGGCATGTGCCCCGACCGGGATTAACCATGACCTGGTTCGTAAGTCCGTGCTTAATCACTGAGCTTTGTAGCTTATGCAAATATAAGCAAATAGTGATATAATTTTCTCCTTTTTTTAAACTGAAAAAATAAAAATTGCATAATTTATTCAGATTCTGTTTATATTTTTACTATTTAGATCCTGAAGACCTTCCATATCACTACATGGAACATTTTTAATTCTTTTTGTGTGTGTTTTTTGTATTTTGTTATGTGATATCCTATAGTTGACTGAATGAACACTGTATTGATAGTCACTTGGGTTGTTACCAATTGCTATAATGAATATTTTATCACAGTTCTTGAGGTGTTTTAAAAATTAATTTAAAAAAACCTGTAGATTTGTCTATATCTTACTTTTTGACTAGTAATATATTGTGAAGGTCTCTCTCTCTCTCTCTCTCTCTCTCTCTCTCTCTCTTTTTGCTATTAGAAAAAACTATATCTTTATGTATTTATCAGAATTTTTCTGAAATATAAATTCCTAAATGTGAAATTAGTCAGTTATGACATTTAAAATATTTTAGTGCTGTTGGTTTTCTATTGCTACATAAAAAAAAAAAAAAACTTCCATAAACTTAGCAGCTTCAAAAACACATTTATTACCTCCTAGTTTTGTAGTCATAAGTTGAGACAGTAGATCTGGGTTTAGTCAATGCTCAGGGCCCTATAAGGTTGTACTCAAGGTGTTAGCTGAGCTGTATTCCTTTCTAGAGGCTCTGGGCAAGAATCTTCAAGCTCCTTCTGGTTGTTAGCTAATTCAGTTCCTGTGATGGCAGGGCTGCTGTCCTTCCTTCACTGGCCGTCAGTGAGGGGCCACTCTCATCTCCTAGAAGTTGCCGCACTTCTTGCCAGGTAGCTGCCTCCATCTTCAAAGCCAGCAGTGTAGAATCCCACCACCCCATCAAGTCCCTTCATGCCGGTCAGTCCCTTTTACGGGTTCCAGTGATTTAGTCAGGCCTACAGAGAATAAGCTATAAAAAAGTCAACTGACTTAGGACCTTATTTCTGCAGAGTTCCTTCACAGCAACATTGAGATGAGTGTTCGAATACCCAGAGAAGGTGTGTGCACACTAGAAGTTGGAAGTCTTGGGGGCCATCTTAGAGTCCCGCCTACCACAACCACCAGCTGCCCTCTAAGAGTTTTAATGATTTCTACTCCTACTAACAGTTTACAAGTGTGCCTCTTTCTCTTCACCCCATATTTCTATTAGGCTATTTAATCGTTTTCTTAGTTATATATCTGTGATCCAGATGACTTTCCACTTGTCATAACTGCATCTATGAAATAATTTTATAATTAAATTTAAGCTATTACTTTTATCACTATAATTACATACAGATGCTTCAGTTACTTACATTTCAGTTATGAAGTAAATGGTTTTCTTTTTTTTAGATTCCTTTCTCCAAATTTTTCTTCTCTAATCAAGGAAGAATCCGGGATGCCCAGTTTCAGCTTCTGCTTGACAAGGTAACATTTTCCTTTCATTCAGAACTACATTCTCTTTAGTGAATCAGAACTCCGGTGAGGATGATTTCAGTCCATTTTGGAAGGCTGGCAAATGAAAGATGGAAATTCCTACTCAAGTGTCTCTCCCCCCCCCCCCCCCCCCCTCCGTAATACCCAGACAGATGTTTACACAGACCAATCCTATCCTGGTGAATTTCATCATGGTCTTCTCTTGAGATTGCCTACATTTTATTTTAGCTTTAAAATAAGAGAACAGTCTTGAGTTCAGGAGAGCTTCAGGAACCTCCATGGTTGTCCTCTCTAGTCTTAGTGGCACACACTGAAGGAAGAGGGAAGGAAGTAGCCCTGCGTTTCCTCTTATAATTTGCTACAGCATAGGATGCCATTGAAGGCCAGTTCAGTTCCTGCGATCGCAGGGCTGCTGTCCTTTCTATGGCATACTTGCTAAGGGCTGATAGTGTAAAGACTCAGCTACAGTAATCGCCTCATGGAATTTTAACACTCCGGGAACATCAGTGTTCGATTTTGATCAATTTCTCTATTTTAAATTTAGATCTCCTCTATTGGATTCACCCTGGCTGATAAAGTGGATGGTCCATTCTTCCTGGAAATAGATTTTATTGGAGTGTTTGCTGATCCAGCCCACACAGAAGAATTTGCCTATGAAAATTCTCCAGTGCTTAACCCAAGACTTTTTAAATAGGTCATGTAGTAGTAGTGTAGTATCTATGCTGATACAGAGACAAAATAAAGTATTTCTTTAATGGCTTTCAATCAGTGGCTGGTATATATTCCCCGAGAAAGCTAAATGCTGCTCCTAAAAGGGACCATACAGAGGGAAACCAAGTTCTAAACTGTACCTTAACTCAGACAATGCAGTTACTATACTGATGCAGAGATACTATATAAATAACTGTTTCTGGTTAGAACGATTTCTGATAGAGATGATTCCTGCATGGTTTCCAAGGCAAGGAGTCTTTGAGATGACAGTTGATGGCCTTCGACCACTATGTTCCTTATAGATTTCTTCTGTTTTCTAATCCATTTGAGGAAGACTGCTGAAGAATCCTATTTAATACAAGCCTAAAAGCCTAGGTAGTGTCGCTTGATGCCCTCATGCGATGTCACAAGATGGCTGCCATAAGATGGCCACCACAAGATGGTCACCACAGATGGCTGGCAGGGGAGGGCAGTTGGGGATGATAGGGCCAGCAGGGGAGCAGTTAGGGAGCAATCGGGTTGCTGGCAAAAGCAGTTAGGGGCAATCAGGCAGGCAAACAGTTAGGAGCCAGCAGTCCCAGATTGTGAGAGGGAAGTTCTAAACTAGCAATTGGAAATCCCCCAAAGGGTCCCAGATTGGAGAGGGTGCAAACTGGACATTGCCCTTCCCCCCACCCCCAACGCATGAATTTTGTGCATCAGGCCTCTAGTATTAAGATAAAGGTGCTATTGAAATCCCTGAGAAAAGACATACCTAGACATGCTTCGTCTGTTCGGGCTGCTATAACAAATTATTGTAGACCAGGTGGCTAAAACATTTACTTCTCACAGTTCTGAGGGCTGAGAAGTCCAAGACCAAAGTATTTGCATATCTGGTATCAGGTGAGTGTCCACTTCTTGGCTTACAGACAGCTGCCTTCTTGGCTGTATCCTCACATGGTCTCTTTCCGTTCTTTACAAAGACACTAATCCCAACACAAGGCCTCAATCCTCAGGGCCTAATTGCCTCCAAAAGGTCCTACCTCCAAGTACCATCATGTTGGAAATTGGGGATTCAACATATGAATTTTGGGATGACACAAACGTAGTCCATAACCTGTACGCAGAGAGCAGCTGGCCCTCTAAAGCTGCATGATCTTTATCAGTTCTTACTTTATAGTGACTTTTAATGGAACCACTAGAGAAACTAAATCAGGTAATAGACTGATGTTCCCAAAACTTCCCCATTTAAAGTGTTACAGAAATTGCATATATATATATATATATATATATATATATATATATATTAAAAAGAACCTCATTAATAGGGTTTAAATTGATAAATTCTTGTCACCTTAGAGAAAGGAAACTATAATACTATAGCCAGAGTACCCTAAGGAAGACAAGTTTAAATAAATAAGAGAATATATAAAGGCTAATAGCTTTTCCATCATCTTGGCCTACAATCTATTTTGAGTATTTTCATGTAATTATCTTTTTTTTAAATTATCTTTTTAATAGCTTTTATTGAGGTATAGTTTACAAAACAAAGTTTATTTTTAAAAATATATTTTTATTGAATTCAGAGAGAAGAGAGGGATAGAAACATCAATAATGAGAATCATTGATTGGCTCCCTCTTGTTTGCCCCCTACTGGGCATCGACCCACAACCCGGACATGTGCCCTTCACCGGAATTGAACCTGGGACCCTTCAGTCCACAGGCCGAGGTTCTAGCCACTAAGCCAAACCAGCTAGGGCTGTCTATTTTATCAATTTATAATATTTTTTGTTTTATATATACATTTAATTCTTTTATTTATACTTAAATACTAAAAAAATTTTTATTGATTTTGAGAGGAAAATCAACAATCTGTTGTTCTATTTATTTTTGCATTTATAGGTTAATCCTGTATGTGACCTGACCAGATATAGACCCTACAACCTTGGCATATGAGGAAGACGCTGTAACCGAACTACCTGGCCAGGGCCACAGAGTTTGCCTGTTTTATTTATTTTTTAAAATATATTTTATTGATTTTTTACAGAGAGGAAGAGAGAGGGACAGAGAGTTAGAATCATTGATCAGCTGTCTCTTACACCCCCCCACCACTGGGGATGTGCCCGCAACCAAGGTACATGCCCTTGACCAGAATCGAACCTGGGACCTTTCAGTCTACAGGCCGACGCACTGAGCCAAACCGGTTTTAGCTTTAGTAATTTCTTTAAAAATTTAAATGTATGTCTATCACATAACCCAGCAATTCTACAGCCAGGTATTTCAGGGATCCCGGGTTCAATTCCGATCAAAGGCATGTATCTTGGTTGTGGGCGCATCCCCAGAGGGGGGTGTGCAAGAGGCAGCTGATCGATGTTTCTAACTCTCTATCCTTCTCTCTTCCTCTCTGTGAAAATCAATAAAATATATATTTTTAAAAATTACTAAACTTTTTCAAGGTGGTTGCATAATTTTATTTTCTCAACAGCAGTGTATTTGACAGTTACCACAAGGTTTTTTTTTTCTTTTCTTTTTTTAAATATGTTTTTATTGATTTTGTACAGAGAGGAAGGGAGATAGAGAGCTAGAAACATCAATGAGAGAGAGTCATCGATCAGCTGCCTCTTGTACACCCCCCACCAGGGATATGCCCGCAACCAAGGTACATGCCCTCGACCGGAATCAAACCCGGGACATCTCAGTCCCCAAGCCGGTTTCGGCTACCACAAGGTTTCTTGATTGATCTGATATCTGCCTCTTAATAGCAGAATCTAAGTTTATTAAGTTCCAAGGACTACGTCCTGTTCGGTGGTTCGTATATGTGAAAATACAAAAGAAGGACACGGGCATTTCTTTTTGGGGTGGGAGTGGGCAGTCAGGAGAGGATGCTTGAGGAGTACATCTTATTTGGTAACTAAATCTTGGAAGCCAATTATGTTTACAAAGAATAATCAACCCCTGAGAGAAAAAACTTTATTTATGAAAATCTGAAGCAGTACAAAACTCAGAATTCCACTTAGGTGCAACAAACATGGATATGATGCTAAGAAACTCTAGTCTTTCCATAAATTGAATAAAATTGAAGTTTAACAGCACAGTAATCCTTAAAGCAGCAATCCTGAAATTTCAACATGGCAGGGCATATTGTTAAATAAGCAAGGCTTTTGTTGTTAAGATATTGAGTGAGATGACAATTACATGAAATGAGTTGAACAAAAGATGCATAAGCTTGAAAAAAACCCGCTTCACATGGGTAAAATTTTGATGTCATAACCAACCCATATGGCCCCTTGTTTTATTAAAGATGACTAGATTCTCTGGAGGATGAAAAGGGGACTTCCCCCAGCTTACCCTATCCTTACTTTATTTCTGGTCAATTTCTACTAAAGCTTGTGCTTTAATAAGCTTCCTCTAGGTAAATGCTCTTGCCTAGAAGAGGATTGCAAATCTGTTAATATTCGAGCCAGGAGGGGGAAATTGACATTAAAAATCTAGGTCAAGAATAGGATGGAAAAAGTATAGGATAGATCTCATTGAAATACTGAGTTGTAAAGGGACTTAGGAACAAAGTTAAGAGCAGAAAAGGACCTTTGGACAAAGTAGAAAGGACAGTATGAAAATATTTACAAAAAAAGGTTCGGAATAAAGTAATATTTACAGAACGTTAAACTATTAATCTGCAGCCATAGTGAGGCCCCTTCGAGTTCCCAAAGCCTTTGCTTTCTTCTTCTTCCGTTCTTGCTCGTGTTTCTTCCGTTGCTCCTCCCTAAGGGGGACAGGTACATATTAGGCTCCAGTGAAGCTCCACAACAGACCACTTGGAAGCACTTGTTAGGCTAATGTTCAAACTTAAAAAGATATCTAGCAAACTTGTACAAAACATAGTTATAGGCACGCTGCAGTCTTACTGTGATGAAAATCATTGCTGTGTTAGGGATATACATTCTAAAGTCAAGCACAGAACTGCAACCTGAAGGTACCCTGGTACTTGAACCCAATCCCTGTAGTTTTAATTGATAAATGTCTACTCCTTGAAGTCAAAGATCAAGCTCAAAATTACATAGTCTAGTGAAAATGCTGGGACTAGGAACCACTGGCTTAAACCACTATATTTTTATGAAAGGGATGTGGGGGACAATCCCAGGATCATGTTAATGATCTTAACAGCAAATATAGTTATTCGAGATTTTGGTGGCAGGTGGATGTAGGCAAGACAAATGACAGGTAACTATCAGGAGGGTTTCATGCAGGGGGTCGACTCAACCAGGACCAGCTGCAGCCCAGGGAAGCTCTGGCTTTAGCTTGGTTTTCATACAGTGAAAGCCTCTAAAGACCATCCTGGGTTTCCCCCTGTGTAGAGCCTTGAAGCCTAGTAAGCCTGGTTTCCCTGAAAGTAAAAAATTTACATCTATCTGCATAACGAGGTGCCCTGGGCGCTGGGATCTGGAGGGATGTCAGGCGCACAGTTTGGGCAGGCAGATCGGATGAAAGCAGCGCTATGAACGTTGTGAATGACCGGTAGCGCTTTGGAAATAACGCAGATGCTTGGGCCCCACCTTGAACCTATTGAATTAGAACCCACGATTAGAACTTTTAGAAAGTTCTATATGTGATTCCACTTCTAGCCTCTTAGACACCACTTTCTGAGACTCTCTATCCCTCAGAGGTTCTGCTTTTATATACAGACTTTCAAAATTAAAAGACTTATAGAACTGGATAATTATGTGCTCACCTGGTCTGAAGAGGAGGTTGTTTGTAAGTTTTCTTGTGGAAGCTAACTCTGCTTACATGCTCATTCAGAGATTTATTTTCTTTAGATTGTCCCCATGGTTTCAGTTTTCCTAATTTACGACAGAGACAAAGACAGATCAATGAAGACTTTTGTATTTATAGTCTCACATTTAGTCATCTGCAGCTATTTGCTTGCTATTGACATTTATACTTTGTTTTAATAGACATTTGCCAGTGTAAATCTTTTATTAATTTCAATTTCATATTCCATAGATATAAATTGCATTTTTTCTCTAAATAACATTTTCTAATTTTAAATAATATTTTTATTTCCGAGAGGAGGGGAGAGAGAGAAATATAAATGATGAGAATCATCAATATGCTTCCTGCATGCCCCCTACTGGGGATCAAGCTCAAAACATGGGCATCTGCCCTGACCTGGACTCAAACTGATCTCCTGGTTCATAGGTAAATGCTCAATTATGTGCCACACTGGCTGGCATGTGTTCTATTTTTTAATCATTGGAAAGCCAAAGAGAAAACCCTAGTGTTTCTCTCTCATCAGTAATATTTTTTTCTCTCTCTTCCTTCCCCTCTGAAATCAATAAAAATATATTAATAAGAAAAAGTAAACCTTAACACTAAAAACAAAAAGCAACTCCTATTACATGCACATTAAAAGGAACCATTACAACCAAACAGTTGATTTCAAGTTGCATAGGTATTATGTTCAGTGGCCTGGTGCACGATCATGCACACTGAAAGAAATTAAAATAACTATTTTAATATCGCTATTTGACCTTTCTCTTTAATAGAAGTGTCAACCAAATTCACGATTGACAATGCCAGATCAAAATACATGCGTGCGATTGGAGCCAGTGAGAGCTTTATATATATCTCACATGAGCAAATCAACATATATATATATATATATATATATATCTTGTTTAATTAGACCTGCTTTCTGATGTAACTAAACTTTTTCCAGCCCAGTGAAGCACTCCAACTTCTCTTTAGGTAATTGTGAGCAACACAGCAGTAAATATCAGCATGGGGCAGATTGTTATTGTAGATCACACAGGGAGAACAAATGGTAAAATATCTAACTGCAGCAGTGTTTGACTATATTCTTCACAGTGAGAAAACCTGAAGTGATTTTTAAGGTCCACCATTTCTTACTTCTTTTCAGTGGGGTCAAGCTTTTAAGCTTTCTAAATCTAGAAACTTTCCAGCTAATGAAAATAGGATTCTATTGTGTCTCCTATCTACCTACTCCAGGACTTCTGTGAGGATCAAATGAGATGAGGCATGGGAAAACACTTCACAGACATTTGGTTAAAGTGTGAAATGTTTGCACTTGGCTATATAGCAAGTTGGGTTCCTGGGCTGGGGAAAATCCAAGGGGGCTAGTTGTCGCTAGGGAGAGGAAGCTGGGCATTGCTACGTGGGATGGTAGGACACTTAGCATATTAGCCTTATCTCTATCTATCTACCTATCTAATCTATCTAAATATAATTAAATGGTAATTATGGGTGTGAACATCATTTTTATGAAATGGTAAACATGCAAATGATAGTCACTGGTACTCAGACATAGGTCCCAAACTAAAAATAAAACAATACCTAAACATCTGGAAGATATATAGATAGATATAGATATTAAAGTGGTATTTAAAAAAGTGGTACTTCACTTGTGCAGTTTGTTATTACCATTACCTCGTAAATTGTATTTGGAATAGAACAAGTGGGAATATGTTGGTTTTATTTTTAAAATATATTTTATTGATTTTTCACAGAGAGGAAGGGAGAGGGAGAGAGAAACATCGATGAGAGAGAAACATCAATGAGAGTGAAACATCGATCAGCTGCTTCCTGCACACCCCCTACTGGGGATGTGCCCGCAATTATGGTACATGCCCTTGACTGGAATCAAACCTGGTACCTTTCAGTCCACAGGCCAACGCTCTATCCACTGAGCCAAACCGGTTTCAGCTATTATGTTGGTTTTTAGAACACATTCCAGATGTTTAGGTATTGCTTTATTTTTAGTTTGTGACCTATGTCTGAGTATCAGTGATTATCATTTGCCAGTTTACTATTTCATAAAAATGATGTTCACTCCCATAATTACCATTTTATCAATAACTACTGAAGTAGTTATTTTCCCTTCCATAAAGGAACTAACTGACTTGCCCAGGATATAAAAATAATAAGCACAGATGAAGCTTTAATCCAGGTTTTCTACTGTTAGCCAAATTGGTGGTCATATTCATTCCCACAGCAAACACTTCAGAGCGCGCCTTGCATGTGCCAGGGACTGCTATAGGAGCCGGGGACATAAGCAGTGAACCAAGCAGTCAAAATCCTTGCTTTCTTGGGCTTACATGCCAGTGGTAGAAGTAGATAACAGTAAAGTAACATAATATCAGATGGTGACTCATGCTATGAAGAAATGTGCACCAGCCGAAACCGGTTTGGTTCAGTGGATAGAGCATCGGCCTGTGGACTGAAAGGTTCCGGGTTCGATTCCGGTCAAGGGCATGTACCTTGGTTGTGGGCACATCCCCAGTAGGGGGTGTGCAAGAGGCAGCTGACCCATGATTCTCTCTCATCGATGTTTCTAACTCTCTATCCTTCTCTCTTCCTCTCTGTAAAAAATCAATAAAAATATTTAAAAAAAGAAAAAAGAAAGAAATGTGCACCAGGCTGAGGAGTAAAGACTGGGGCAGGGAGTGAGGAAAGGCAGGAACTGGTGACAGCTGAGTGGATGTAAAATGAGGAAGAAAGCTGTGCAAAGGTCTGTGGCAACAACATTCCAGGTGGATCAGAGGGATACAATGAGGTGGGGATGAGCTGGGTGTGTCTGAGGAATTGAAACACCAATGTATTTGTCCCAAAGTCGGGGAAGGAGGCAGTGACTGAAGTTGGGAAAGAGATGGGAAACCCTCAGGAGATTCTGAGCAAGGCAGCGTTGGTTTTTAAGGTTGTAGTGGGGCAAAGAGGTCATTCTAGAAGCCCAGGTAAAGATGATGAAGACCTGGACCAAAGGGAGTCACAATGGAGAGATGAAAGTGGTCTGATTAAAGATCTTTTTCAAAGGTAGAGATGAAAGGACTAGCCGATGGGCTAGAGAGGATGCCTAAGGGAAAGTGAGGAGCCAAAGAGGACTCCTAGGTTTCTGCCCTGATGACTCAGTAGATAACTCAACAGAAAGAGTGCCATTGCCACAGATGGGAAAACTTGGGAAGAAAACATGGGTGTGTGAGAGAAGTAGATGTATTTTTACCACAACTAAGTAAGATTTATGTTATGTTACATGTTTCATTGACATTCGTAATTTAAAGATAAACATCCTAGCCAGTTTGGCTCAGTGGATAGAGCATTGGACTGCAGATTGAAGGGTCCCTGGTTTGATTCCTGGTCAGGGAATATGCCCAGGTTGCAGGCTTAATCCCCAGTAGGGGGTGTGCAGGAGGCAGCTGATCAATGAGTCTCTCATTATTGATGTTTTTATTTCTCTATACCTCTTCCTTCCTCTCTGAAATCAATAAAAGTATATTAAAAAATAAAAATAAAGATAAACATCCTATATAATAAAAGGCTAATATGCAAATCAACCAAAGGGCAGAAACACTGGTAGCTATGACACGTACTCACCACCAGGGGGCAGACACTCAATGCAGGAGCTGCCCCTGGGGGTCAGTGTGCTCCCACAGAAGGGCCTCACAGCCAGAAACCGGGCTCATTAAGGATCTTTTTCAAGTGCAGCAGCAGTGGCGGGAGCCTCTCCTGCATCCGCAGCAGAGCTATGGATGTCTTAGGGAGTGGGCCTACACTGGCAGTTGGATATCCCCGAGGGCTGTATCGCCCTGAGTGAACACAGGTCGGGCTGAGGGAGGCCCCCGCTCATAAATCTCATGCACTGGCCTCTAGTTATTACATAAACATGATTATGGTTTTAAAAAGTAATTCCAAAAGCACAAAAGAGAGATCACATTAAGTATTCATATTTTTTACAGGTGTAAGAATCTTTAATATAATATATGCTCAATGATATCTGGCCAATGAACATCCCAGTGTTGGACTGGTGATTCCCAGTAAAGCTGTAAAGAAAACATTTATTAACCCACAGGCTCACTTCTAAGTTTCTTGATTTTGGCTGAAATTTTAATTCTTTGTAGTAACATTAGAAATTATGTCTTTGATAACGAGAATGTGAGTCAGATATTTAAATATTTAAAAAAAAATATTGGCATTTTCTTTTTTTATATATATATATTTTATTTATTTTTTACAGAGGAAGGGAGAGTTAGAAACATCGATTAGAGAGAGTCATCAATAAGCTGTCTCCTGCACGCCCCCTACTGGGGGTGTGCCTGCAACCATGGCACATGCCCTAGACCGGAATTGAACCCGGGACCCTTCAGTCCGCAGGCTGACGTTCTATCCACTGAGCCAAACTGGTTCGGCTGAGTCAAATAGTTAATATTTGTTTAATGGATACTTTTTATATATTTTATTGATTTTTCACAGAGGAAGGGAGAGGGATAGAGATCTAGAAACATCGATGAGAGAGAAACATCGATCAACTGCCTCATGCATACCTCTTGCTGGGGATGTGCCCGCAACCAAGGCACATGCCCTTGACTGGAATCGAAACCTGGACCCTTCAGTCTGCAGGCTGACGCTCTATCCACTGAGCTAACCCGGTTTCGGCTGGACATTTTATTTTTTTTAAACATATATTATATTGTTTTTTTACAGAGGGGAAGGGAGAGGGATAGAGAGTTAGAAACATCAATGAGAGAGAAACATCAATCAGCTGCCTCCTGCACACCCCGCACGGGGGATGTGCCCCGCAACCAAGGTACATGCCCTTGACCGGAATCGAACCTGGGACCCTTGAATCCAAAGGCTGATGCTCTATCCACTGAGCCAAACCGGTTTTGGCTGGACATTCTTTTTAAACATGAAGAGTGGGGGTAGAAATGCTAGGCGGTCAAGTAAGGTTTCCATCTGAGTCACATCCTCAGTGGGAAATGGGTTGATCTTAGGTCTTTGTGTGTCTTATACCGCAAAACATCCCACATACCTTTGTGTGGCTCATAGTTGAGGGGACGAGACAAACTTGCTTGGAGATCAAACACTGGTTTCTTGTTGGAGACTGGAGTCTGTGCTGCTTCAGCTGAAAACTTGAATGGGGTAATAACTAAAAAAGCCAACATAAAACCCAAGGGCTTGATTAGAGGAAAAAAAACAAAAAACGTTATGGTTTTTTATTAAAGTATCACTTCTCAATCTTAAAAATGTAATCTATATGAAAAGTCCAAGACAAATATAAGGTTAAAAGAGAAGAATAACTGAAGAAAGTTAACCACTGAGATATGTTTCCCCTATTAGCTTCTCCCCAAATAGCCTAAACATTATGAGATTTCCTATGATCAGCTGGGAGTTTAGAATTTCCCTGATATTATTTACCCTTAAAAATGATAAATTACTAATAGTAACATTTTCATTAATAGACATAAAACCTGCAAGGAACCTAAATCACATAAGTGGAAAAGATTCATGGCTTTGTTTGTTATTAATACAAGGGTATGTATCTACATGGCTTATTCTGGCTCACCCAGTCTACTAGTCAATAGTGTGGCACTGATTCCATGAACTCTGGGATCCTGTTTGTTTCAGACCCTGCAGGCCACTGGAGGCTGTCATGTCCTCCTCAGCCCTGGGCTGAATGCTCTTCAGAGAGTCACGTCTTAAGACTCCTCTTCAATTAGACACTAGTTTTTTATTTGTGATTCTAGCATTTCCCTCACCAATATACAATGAAAAATATGCGATGGTAAAATGTCTGCTTTTGATTTTACAGATATGGAGAGGCTTAAGGAAACAGATAAACTTAATTTCAGAAAGTTACATGGCTTGAAAATGAACCAATATATTTTTTCACCTGCAGCAGAATCCCCCTTTGTGGTCTTTAACTTGTTTGTCCCAAGCACAGCCTGGCCTTTGGGGGTATTTCCAGATATGGACACATGTGGAGACTTTCTGGCCGGAGTCTTAGTCAGTGAACGCTTATATTCATTATCTTTAGTAGCAGCTGAAAATCTAAATAGGACAGAGAAGTACAAGACATGAGTTGTGTTAAGAGTAACTGTGTCTGAGAGAATCCAAGATGGTTGCACAGGTAGACACCTAGCCGCAGCTGCACACAATTTTAATAAAATACAACTAAAATATAAAATGGACATTACCCAGAACTACAGGAAAGTCGACTGACTGGAAATTCTACAACGAGAAGCAAGGAGGAAACCAGAAGGAAGGGCGGAGGAGCTGTAAAAGCCTAAGGTACGGAGACATGCAGCTTGCGGAGAGGACGGAGCTGGAGAGGAGGAAGGCTTAGTGCCTGGCTGGCGTTCCCTAGCGGGAAGGAGATAAAAGCTCCGACTATGCTGGGCCCCAGTTCCGACTGCTCTGAACCCCAGTTCTAGGCCAGACCCCGAGGACCCAGGCTCATCCATAGGGAGCTGGGCTGAAAGGCGGAACCCTGGGGAAGTGGCGAAAGGAGGTATGGAAGGGGAGTGAACTGACGATTCTCGGGGGAAAAGGGGAGAGGGGTATGTGGGAAGAGACTGAACACTGTGCACCTATGGATGAGGACAATGGGGGGTGGGGAAAGGGCAGAGGGTGGGAACCTGGTGGAGGAGAGCAATGGAGGGGGTGTGGAAGGAACATTTGTAATAATATGAACAATAAAAATTTATTAAAAAAAACAAACAACTGTGTCAAGCTTATAAACAAAGCCACTTGTCCATCACCAAGCAGTGAAAAGGCCCCCATGCACCAACTTGACCCCAGGAGGCAGCCGTTCATTTGTGTAAATACTGTCACACAAATGAACCTCCTTTGCAGAATAGAGATGCTCTTAAAACACTTATGCTAAAGCAAATCAGTAATCAACTTTTATTTATAAAACACTAGAGGCCCAGTGCATGAATTTGTGCACTAGTAGGATCCCTAGCAGCTGGCAATGGCCAGCTGAGGCCTCCCTTCCTTCCCCCAGACACCTGCCATCACCACTGGCTGGGGCCTCCCTCCCTTCCCCTAGCCAGCTTAGACCCTGGTCAAAATACCAGAACTCCCAATGGAGGGGACAATTTGCACAAAGCTTTTATTATATAGGACTAGGGGCCCGGTGCATGAATTCGTGCACTGGGGGTGGGGGGAGGGTCCCTCTGCCCAGCCTGCCCCGTCACAGACTGGGAGCCCTCAGGAGATGTCCTACTGATGGCTTAGGCCCGCTCCTCTGCAGAAAGTGACAGGGTTGATCAAGGAAAGGCACCAGCCCTATCACTCTGCTGCTGCAGCCACTGCCAGCCACCGCAGCTGCCAAAGTGTTTTCATCAACACGACTCCAGTCCCTTCACTATGAAAAAATGACAACTTTCTTTAGGCATTATCAAGATGTCTCTTTCATAGGATATGACATTCCTTTATTTATTTATTTATTTATTTATTTATTTATTTATTTATTTATTTATTTATTTAATCCTCACCTGAGGATATGTTTCCATTGATTTTTAGAGAGTGTGGAAGATGGAGAAACCGAGAGAAACATCAGTGTGAGAATGTGAGAGGGACACTTTGATTGGTTGCCTCCTGCATGAGCCCTGAACCGGGCCCCGGCCAGGGAGAAGCCTGTAACCTAGGTATATGCCCTTGATCAGAATCGAACCCAGATCGTGCAGTTGGCAGGCTGAGGCTCTATCCACTGAGTCAAACCAGGATATGACATTTCTAAGCCTCTTTAGCAGTGGACCTTTGTTTTTTCCTCCAGGAGTGTAATGGAAAAACTGTAGATCACCTTCTTGGATTCTTATTACTCAAGTTACAAAGAACACTGAATGGTGTACCAGGAGCTTAGCCAATGAGCAGTCAGAAAAGGTGTTTATACTTGAACTGGTTTGGCTCAGTGGATTGAGTGTCAGCCTGCAGACTGAAGAGTCCCAGTTTTGATTCCTGTTAAGGGCATGTATGTTGGTTGGGGGCACATCCCCAATGGGGTGGGGGTGAGGGGCCCGGAGGCATCTGATCGATGTTTCTCTCTCATCGATGTTTCTAACTATCTCTCTCTCTCCCTTCTTCTCTATTAAAAAAAAAATTAAAAAATCAATAATATATATATATATATATATATATATATATATATATATATATATATATAATCTTTTAAAATAAAAAAATAAATTTGGCTTTCAAAAGAAATTTCAATCGTTGTACTGTTGATATTTGGCTCTGTTTACTAATGAGCTTGCCCACCACCAGTGTAGGGGACAACACTCCAGCGAATGAACCAACTGGCCAGTGTTAGTTCTTTCTTTATCAATGTGAAAACATTTCATGTAGTCCACCTGAAATGTATTAGAAGCTGTTAAGTTTTGAGACCTTGTCCTCCATCCCATTTTGGAGTTCTTTACCTGACATTCATTTTAGTTGCTGAGAGAGTGGAACGCTTGACCGACCCCTTCATATACAAGGTGCTCAGATCTGCACCACCCGGGGCCCGGCTTTGTGAGCGCTGCTGGCTTGAGGGAGTACAAGCCATAGAGAATCTTCCTTGGCGACCCACTGGAGTTGCCACCACTTCCTTAGTTATGGACCGCTTCTGAGGAAGGAAACATATCATTAAAGCTTTACCCCTTAGATAGTATTGTGTCCTTGGCAAAGTGCAAAAGAGCACTCCCATTTATTTCCCGCCAATCCCCCTTTCATCTCTCAACCCCATCATCCCTTCTTTCTGCATTACTTCATTCTATCCTTCCTGCCTGGCAGGCTGGCCATTCGCTGTACCTGTGTTGTGATGGTGATGGATTTGATAGTAACTTCTGATTGTGTTGAGTAACGTGTTACAGAAAGCCCTTCCCAAGTCCCAAACACCCAGGTATTTTCTTTTCTTTTTTTCTTTTTTTAAAATATATTTTATTGATTTTTTACAGAGAGGAAGGGAGAGAGATAGAGAGCCAGAAACATCGATGAGAGAGAAACATCGACCAGCCGCTTCTGCACATCCCCCACCGGGGATGTGCCTGCAGCCAATGTACATGCCCTTGACCGGAATCGAACCCAGGACCTTTCAGTCCGCAGGCCGACGCTCTACCACTGAGCCAAACCGGTTTCGGCCACCCAGGTATTTTCTAACTAGAGAAAGAATGTGGCTTAAACAGACCCTGTGGCCAGAAAGAAAGAATAATGGGTTCTCTTGGGCATATAGTAACTTTGAGAGCATGATATGGAGTTTATTAAATAAAAACTCAAAGAATTTATTACATAATTAGTATATGGAATCTACAAATAATTCCATCCCTACTTCTTCCACCCTCTATAATGTTGTTTTTTTAAAATATATTTTTATTGATTTTGTACAGAGAGAAGGGAGAGAGATAGAGAGTTAGAAACATCGATGAGAGAGAGTCATCGATCAGATGCCTCTTGCACACCCCCTACTGGGGATATGCCTGCAACCAAGGTACATGCCCTTGACCGGAATTGAACCTGGGACCTTTCAGTCCCCAAGCCTCTATCCATTGAGCCAAACCGGTTTCGGCTATAATGTTTTTTTTTTTTTTATATGTTTTTATTGATTTCTGAGAGAAGGGAGAAAGAGATTAAAAAAAAAAAAAATCAATGATGGCAAAACCAAGATGGCGGCATCGATAAACACCTAAACTGCTGCCTCACACAACAATTTCAAAACTACAACTGAAAGACAAAATGTCTATCACCCAGAACCACGGGAAAGCTGGCTGAGTGGAAGTTCTACAACTAGAAGGAAAGAGAAAAGAGCACTGAGGTGTGCACAAGTTCTGAAAAGCTGAGGTACGGAGGCGCATGAACCAGGCTGGCTGCGGACATTGCTTTTTTCAACCTAAAGAGAGACAAGCTTCCAATTACTCTGAAATCCAGTTTCTGGGAACCCAAACTCCTACAGGGAGAAGCTGGACGGTCTGCCATCAGGTCAGAAAGTGAGGGTGGCTTGCTTGCAGAGCTGGTGCAGGAATCTTTGTTTACTACACTGGGGTGCGAGACACAGGGACTAGGAAATTCGGACACACTGAGATGGCTGACTGGCAGCCATCGCTGTTTGCCACACCCTAGCTTAGTGACTCCCTGAGACCACCCCAAGATCTACAAACCCATCCAAGTTCTGAGCAGGGGCTTTTGCATATGAATAGCCTCCCCTATTGCAGCTTAACCTAACAAACTGCAGCTCTGATAGCTCCAAAACATCCAAACTCCAAGCAAGAAAACTGTAGTTCTCGCTGTAGCTCCTGCTGGTTGGCCTCAGACAGTAGCTGACCTGCATCCCATTGGAGATCCAGAAGCCAGTGTACCTAGTGGTCAGTGTGAGATGACACCAGATTTCAATTCCTCACATCCTTAAGTGACACAATCAAGAGGCAGACTCAGTGAGCACCAAAACCCCACTGAAGCAAGTCCTGCCCCATAAGCGTGTCTCCAGCACAGCAGTTCTTCCATTATAGACACAGTGGGTCCTCACAGCAAATTGGCCTGGAGGTCAATAGTGTACCAATAGTAATCAAGGCTTAACTACACCAAGACTTTTCTCTCAGCCCACAAAAGGGTGCACCAAGAGCATCCATCTCAGTTGTTTGGGGAGGCTGAGGTCACCTATCACACAAAGCCACTCAATCAACGCAGGGAAGCAGCCAAAATGTGGAGACAAAGAAACATGTCACGAATGAAAAAAATGGAGGAAAGCAAACTACTTTACATAGAGTTCAAAACCACATTTATAAGGTTACTCAAGAATCTTCTAAAAACCACTGAAAACTTTATCAGACCTACGAGAGCTTAGTGAGACCTTCAAGGACCTTAATGAGAATGCCAAAAAAAAAAAAAAAAAGTTAAAGGACCAGTCAGAAATTAAGCATACACTGCCTGAAATAAAGAATATACAGAAATTCAACTGTAGATCAAAGGACCTCAAGAACCACGCAAAAATCTGAAATAAAAGGAAACAAAAAACACCCAACCAGGAAAAAAAAATAAGGAATCCAAAAATATGAAGATAGGGTTAGGAGCCTCTGGGACAACTTTAAGTATACCAACATCCAAATTATTGGGGTGCCAGAAAAAGAGAGAGAGCAAGACACTGAAAACTTATTAGGAGAAGAGATGACAGAAAACTTTCCCTACCTGGTGAAAGAAATAGACTCATAAGTCCAGGACGTGCACAGAATCCCAAACAAGAGGAATCCAAAAAAGACTACACCAAGACACATCATAATTAAAATGCCAAGAGCAAAAGACAAAGAGAGAATCTTAAAAGTAGCAAGAGAAAAACAGTTAGTTACCTACAAAGGCAGCTGGTCGATGATTCTCTCTCATTGACGTTTCTAGCTCTCTATCCCTCTCTCTTCCTCTCTGTGAAAAATCAATAAAAAAAAAGAAAAAAAAGAAAGAAATATTCAAAGTGATGAATAGCAAGAACCTATAACTCAGATTATTCTACCCAGCAAAGCTATCATTCAGAATTGAAGGTCAGATAAAGAGCTTCACAGACAAGAAAAAGCTAAAAGAGTTCATCACCACCAAACCAGGATTACATGAAAAGTTTATTTGAAGGGTTTTGAAAATTCTCATGGTAGGGGAAAGCAATTTAAGATAATAAAGATGCATTAAACTCAAACAAATCCATTGCACAAATCCATCAAAAGCTGCTGTATTAACCATGGTGTATATATGGTACCAAGATTAAAATAAAATATTTAGTCCCGTTAAGAACATAATTACCTTCAGTTCATTAAGTGAATTGTGTTGTTCAAAATTTTTCTTTTTTCTCTTAATATATTGATCAATGGACTCCATTTCCTTAAAATGGGCCTCATGAAGCTTCTTAAAGTCTAGAACATTCCACAAAACATGAAAATTAGTAACAAACAAAATCCATTTATTTACCTTCCCTTTGTTTTCCTATAAACACTTATTCTCTCATCTGTATTCCTAACATTCAGTTTCAATATCATCTTTGCCAAAACTTTAATTTCAAAACATTTAGAACATTTAGTTTTTGGAAATGCAGGGGCAAAGCATATCTATCTTAAAAATAATTCAATATTCACCATCTTTCCACTGTGCACTACTAAGCTTGGTTTTGTCTAGGGAATCAGAAAAGAATAACATATTTGTCCTCTCCCCTCAGGAATTAATCAAATGGCCTTATTTTAATCATAAATTTGATGTTTTAAATGCTTAAAAAGCTCTATGCCAAGCACTGGTACACTTTTTCTGGAAAGGGCAGACAGCAAGTAGGCTTTGTGACAATGAATATCTACTTTTTTTTTTTTTCATAGAACCCTTTGTAAAAGCCATTCTTAGCTCAAGGGCTAGAAGATAGGCCAAGGTGAGCTACTGCTGACCTCTCCACTGTATTATTCTAAGTATATATTTTAAATATATATATTCTGAATAAGAAATAGAGAAGAAGAATTAATGTCCCAAAATGAAGCCTCTTAGACCAGCGGTCACCAACCGGTGGTCCATGAGGTCCGAAAGGTTGGCGAACACTGGTTTAAGGAAACGTCTGGAATAGCAGTCGCCAACCTGTGGTCTGAAGACCACTCGTGGCCTGTGAGGTCCAAAAGGTTGGTGACCACTGCCTTAGAAAAAAAAAGCCTAAAAAAAAAGTCTTTCTCATTTTTTTTTTCATTAAGGTATTATATGTGTACATACCTTACCAATTCTCACACTCCCCCTGCCTTAGAATTTTTTTTTTTTTAAAGTAATTTATTACAAAGTGGATACTATGCCAAGTACTTTACAGACATGCATTCTCTGACATTTAGGGAATACCTGCTACATGTAAGTTACTGTGGTAGGTAATCAGAAGTAAAAAAAAAATAGGCTCAATTAATCTATATATCAACCTGATGAAATAGGCAATACAACCATTCCAATGTTCAACTGAAGAAGTGGTTTACTGAGGATAAGTAAGCTGCCCAAAGTCTTCCAGCTAGAAAATAGGAGAAGGCAGACACCAGCCCCAGTTCCGGCATCCCAGCTTTTAGCTGTGACAGTCAGTACACTGACTCTCCAACATCAGCCAGCAAAACTTACTTGGAGTAGTGATTGCAATTCTTTTATTTTTTCCAGATTTGGAAAACCCATCTGTGTAGCCAGACTTCTTTCTTTCTGAAGGCACCTTTGAATCTTCATTACCTGAATACAAAGATACAGAACCAATGAAAAGATTTCAATAAATATTGCCTTTTAGAAATGTCATGAGCCAAAACTGGTTTGGCTCAGTGGATAGAGCATCGGCCTGCGGACTCATTGGTCCCAGGTTCGATTCTGGTCAAGGGCATGTACCTTTGTTGTGGGCACATCCCCCGTAGGCAGCTGATCGATGTTTCTCTCTCATCGATGTTTCTAACTCTCTATCCCTCTCTCTTCCTTTCCGTAAAAAATATTTTTTAAAAAAGAAATGTCATGAGCATATTCATGTGACATGCTCTGCCAAGGTGGGGGGAGAAATGGCACACAGGGAGCACAAGGACTTACAGCATCACTAAAATTTAGCTCATAAGCAGAAATTTTGCTTCCTATATAAAAGTTATATAAAAAAATTAAAAACACTTTTTCATAACTTGTGCTATAAACATGTTGTTATAACTAGAATAATAAAAAACAACCCCACCAGCCTTAGCATTCTGGCATGTTTCTCAGGTCTTTTGCTTCTGTTCAGGAACATCTCAGAGATATTGAGTGTTCTGTTCCAGACCACTGCAATAAAACAAGAAGTAATTTTTTGCCTTGAGTTTGTAAAAAAACAAAAACAAAAAAAACACCAAAAAACAACAACGACATCTGTAGAGGCAATAAAGCAAGCACAATAAGGAAAGATATGCCTATACTTGTTTCATTTTTGTTCTTTAAATCCAGTTGAAATCATGGTGTATACAAGGTCTACTATTTTCCCCCACTTATAATCATTTTCCACTTTCTGATATCTTTTTTAACTCAAGGTAATCTACTAAAAATATGTAAGTGGATTTTCAAGTAATATAACATATAAAGTCAACATCTTTAAGGTTCCCTAATGTATCCATTAAACAAGGCAAAGAATATTCCATAGTGTAGTTGGGGCTCCAGGTGCTTCTTTTTGGACCCTGACTCTAAAACCAGAGAGAGAGCTAGCTCAGTTGGTTAGTATCATCCCGTACACCAAAAAGTTGTGGTCAGGAAACACACCTGGTTGCAGGTTCAATCCCTGGTTGGGAAACATATGGAAGGCAACCAATTGATGTTTTTCTCTCTCCCTTCCTTTCTTTAAGCATGTCCTTGGATGAGGATTAAAAACAAAACAAAACAAAGCACAGAGACAAAAATTCTGTGAAAAACAGGAGATTTAGAGTCAGTGTCACTCCTCACAGGGTATTTATTAATAACAAATGGAAAAATAATAACTTTCCAGAGAAGCAATGTAGCAGATACCACCATAACCAGGTGATGGAATTTAGCATGACTAATTACAGGAAAAACCAACATGTGTGCTTTCTGGGGTGCTGAGGACACATCCTTCAGCCAAAAGTGCATGATCTGAATCTAATCATCAGCATATTAGATAAACCAAATCAGAGAACCCCCCCCAAAAAAAACTTGCCTATATTAAAATATGTCAACATCCTGAAAGACAAAGGAAGACTGAGAAAGTTTTCCAGATTAAAGTAGACTAAAGAAACATGACAATGAAATGCAAAGGATGAGCTGAGATTTTCCTGTTTTTAGAGACATAATTGATGGAATTATTGAAATAAGTGGATGGAATTATTGGAAAAATAAGTTTCTAACACAAAAATAATGAATGGCTTTAAAAAAATTATTTAATGTTTGACTTATAAAAGGCAGCTGGATTCTCTTATCTACTTTTGTAGATAATGTGTTACAGCATGTTGTTTTGGTTGATAAAAACACTGTGTGGCCAGATTATTATGATCTCTGAATGCATAATAATCTGGCCACTCAGTGTATATCCTATATAATAAAAGGTTAATATGCAAATTTCCCCCTCGACCAGGAATTCGACCAGAAGGCAGGCCAGTCAACCGCCCATGTCCTCTCCCCCTGGCCAGGCTGGGCGGAACCCCACCCATGCATGAATTCATGCACCGGGCCTGTAATACACACACACACACACACACACACACACACATTGAGTGGCCAGATTATTTTGCATTCAGAGATAATAATAATCTGGCCGCTCAGTGTATATATAAAAACAAATCTTGCCAAACACAGATATGTGATTGAAAGGGAAGAGTATTTTAATAATATTTTCAGATAACTGAGATATTCTTTTTTGATACTATACCATAATGTGAAAAGTAGTGGCGTCCTAAATATTAGTTGCAACATGGAATATAAAGCCAAGTCAATGAGCCTTTTGTACTCTGAACATTTATAAGAGAAAGTCTCTGTTTTAAGAAACACACACTGAAATATTTATATTTAGGGCAGTGGTTCCCAAGCTTTTTTTGGCCGTGTTCCACCTAAGCATCTCTAAAATACTGATGTCCACCTTCCCATGACATATAATTCTTATTATTCAAAAAGTGAACTCCTATTCACATGAAGGAAGCCTAAAAGTTGGTCTAAACAGCTTCCAAAGAACATGGCATTCATGAAAGAAATAAAAGAACAAAAGGACAGTTGAAGTACTAAGGAAGAATCACTAAGAAATTGTTTAAAAAAAATAATATGAAGTTACCGAAACCGGTTTGACTCAGTGAATAGAGTGTCGGCCTGCGGACTGAAAGGTCTCAGGTTCGATTCTGGTCAAGGACATGTACCTTGGTTGCGGGTACATCCCCAGCAGGTGGTGTGCAAGAGGCAGCTGATCAATGACTCTCTCTGATCGATGTTTCTAACTCTCTAACCCTCTCTCTTCCTCTCTGTAAAAAATCAATAAAACAAACAAAAAAACAAAACAGAACAAAATATATATATATAAAATAATAATATGAAGTAATATGAAAAAAGTAGCAAATAAAGTTTCAAAACTTATAATAGAGAATTGAAATGCATAAATATGTCATAATATATATTTATACTAGTGGCCTGATGTACGAAATTCATGCACATTAAAAGTGAATTAGAAGAGCCGAAGCCAGTTTGGCTCAGTGGTAGAGCATCGGTCTGCGGCCTGAAAGGTCCCAGGTTCGATTCCGGTCAAGGGCATGTACCTTGGTTGCGGGCCCATCCCCGGTAGGGGGTGTGCAAGAGGCAGCTGGTTAATGTTTCTCTCTCATCGACGTTTCTAGCTCTCTATCTCTCTCCCTTCCTCTCTGTAAAAAATCAATAAAATATACTTATTAAAAAAATAATAATAAAATTAAAAAAAATTAAAAAAAAAAAAAAAAGACAAAGGAGCTCTAGTGGATTTTGCTCAGTGGTCAGAGCCTCGGCCCACCTTTTAAAGAGTTGAGGGTTTGATTCCAGTCAAGGGCACAAACCTCAATTACAGACTGGGTTCCTGGACCCTGGCAGGGGTGTGTGTGGGAAGCAACCAATTGATGTGCCTCCCTCACATTCATGTTTCTCTCTCTCACCCTGCCTTTCATTTTCTTTCTCTAAAAAAAAGAAAAGGAAAAAATATCCTCTCTGGGAGGCTTATTGAAAATTACAGACACCCAGACTATCTTAGACCTATTGAATCAGAACCTCGACCTCCTGGAACAATATTTAGTAAGAAATGCAAAATTATGGGGGAAATGGGAAGGCTCAGCATTAGAAATTCTGCGTTTAATTGCTTGTTGGACACTGGACCAGGCAGATTGGCTGGAGTGAAACATAGACTCTGTTGCAATTGGCAGGCTTGAAGAAGGAAATCAGAAAGCAGAAGTCTTGTTAGGTATACAGGAATTGAAGTTTTCTGATCTTATTAAAACAAACGTTTAGTTAAGTTTAGGGAAGAGGTTTTTAGGATGTTAGAATCTAAGAATATACAAATACTAGGGGCCCAGTGCACGAATTCATGCACCTTGAAAGGAACTGTGGGCTGTGAGGCTGCGGTAGATACAGGGGTGGTTCTCTGCCCATCCTCCATGCCCCCACCCGATCCCTCCTGCCATGGTCCCAGTCTCATCTGCAGGCAGCCCCACTCCCGCACACTGATGGCCCCAGCCCCACTTGCACCCCCTGAAGGAACAGAGCGATTGGGGCTGGCATGAGCTGCAGGTACAAGCGGCAGCTGCTGTCCCGATCACCCCTCAGGAGCAGGGGGAGGTGGAGAAGCCCTCAGGAGTGATTGGGGCCGGTAGCCACTGCTCACACCTGCTGATGGCACCGAGTGATCCATGCCAGCACTGGGATGCTGGCAGCAGGTGCGAGTGGCAGCTCTGGTGTTGGCAGCAGTTGTGATTGCGGCTGGAGCCGGCAGCAGGTGGGAGCACCAGGCAGGACCACAGCACATGGGAGCAAAGAATTTTCTGTAACCACCAGAGGCTCATCCCGATGATAGCAACTGGTGCCACGCTTGGTTTGGTGCCCCCGTTCACCTGCTCTACAATCCTGCCATGGCTGGTGCCCGCCATGTTCTGCTGCCTGCTCCGACGCCTGCCATGTTCCATGTGTGCCTCCGTCAGTGCACGTCATAGCAACCAATTGTTCGGTTGTATCACTGTTCAGTCTTTTTGCATATTAGGGTTTTATATATATAGATCATCATTAAAAAAAGGCCACACCACTGGGAAGGTAGACTTTACAGCTCCCCCTTTTTAAAAAAAAATATATATTTTGTTGATTTTTCACAGAGAGGAAGGGAGAGCGATAGAGAGCTAGAAACATCGATGAGAGAGAAACATCGACCAGCTGCCTCTTACACACCCCCCACAGGGGATGTGCCCGCAACCAATGTACATGCCCTTGACCGGAATCAAACTTGGGACCCTTTAGTCCGCAGACCGATGCTCTACCACTGAGCCAAACTGGTTTCGGCTACAGCTCCCTTTTTTTTTTTTTTTTTTTTTTTAATATATTTTATTGATTTTTGTACATAGAGGAAGGGAGAGAGATAAGAGAGTTAGAAACATCAATGAGAGAGAGTCATCGATTAGCTGCTTCTTGTACACCCCCTACTGGGGATATGCCCGCAACTAAGGTACATGCCCTTGACCAGAGGGACCCTTCAGTCCCCAAGCCGAAGCTCTATCCATTGAGCCAAACTGGTCCCGGCTACAGCTCCCTTTTAATTATCCTGATTCAATAAGCAAACAGGTCTTTGCACCAGTCTTGCAAGTAAGCCAGAAGGAACTAATGGACAAAATGCAGGCTCTCCTCATCAGTAAGTAGCGATCAATTCCCTAAACTTTGAAGCTACCACTGTTACTCTGTTTTCTCAAATTAATAAAGATGAACTGATGGCCTACTAGATTTGGTTCAAACTTTTACTTTGTCAAACCCATATAAACACTATAAAATGGTGTTATGGGTTGAACTGTATCCCCCCAAAAAAAGGTATGCTAGGGTCTTAACCTCCAGTAACTGTGATATAAACTTATTTGTAAACTAGAGGCCCAATGCACAATATTTGTGCAAGAGTAGGCCTTCCTTCTTCTGGCTGCCAGCTCCAGCTTCATCTGGAAGGTCATCAGGAAGGATGTCTGATTTAATTAGCATATTAGGCTTTTATTATTATAGATTCTTGGTTGATGTCATCAAATCAAGATGGAAGTCATTAGGGTGAAAACTCTAATCCAACAGGACTATTGTCCTTTTTTAAATCCTCACCTGAGAATGATTTTTAGAGTGGAAGGGAGGGAGAGAGAGAAACATCAATATCACAGAGACACATTGATTGGTTGCCTCCCCCACATGCCCCAACCAGGCCTGGGGATTGAGCTTGCAACAGAGGTACATGCCCTTGACCAGAATCGACTACAGGACCCTCCTGATGCTCTATCCACTGAGCCAAAGTGGCTAGGGCAAGACTAATGTCCTTTTAAGACAGAGAGGACATAAAACAGACTAATGCAGCTACAAGCCAAGAAACACAGGATCAATTGCCACCACTAAAAGTTAGACTAGGCCAGGCCAGATTCTATCCAGGGTCTAAACTCTAGAAGGCGAATGGCCCTGCTGACCATTCAAGACTTCCAGCCTCCAGAACTGTCAGAGAATAAATGTGTTATTTTAAGCCACCCAATCTGTAGCACTTCTTTAAAGCAATCATAGAAATCTAAGGCATATGCTGCCCTAGCAGTCTGGATTTTTTTAGTTACTTGGCATACCATTTATTTCACTATTTCCCGAGGACACTGCATTCTCCTTTCCTTGTCTCCCATCTGGTGGAGATGGAACTTCTGCAACAGGTCTGAGAGCCTGTTTTTCTTGATTCTGGAACTCAGTGGGATCACTTGTTTTTATCTCTGGATGATCCTGCTACAAATTGAAAAAGGAAATAAATGATTTAAATAATAAATAAGAAGTCATCACATTTGAACGTTGCTAAGAAGGTACATGTATCTTAAAAAATATTTTTGTAAATATATATGGTGATGGATATGAACTAGAATTAGGATGCTCATTTCCCAACATAGATAAGAAACAATCGAATCATTCAGTTGTACACCTGAAACTAAAGTAATCGTACATGCCAATGATATCTCAACTTAAAGATATGCCATTAAAAAAAATTAAAAGTATTGCTTATAGTCAGATATTTTTAAAAAGGAGTAATCACTACCTTCAAAAGATGAGTACCAAGCCCTAGCCGGTTTGGCTAAGTAGGTAAGAGTGTTGGCCTGTGGCCTGAAGAGTCTCAGGTTCAATTACCGTTAAGGGCGTGGCTGCAGGGTCCTCCCCAGCCTCGGCCCTGGTCAGGGCACGTGCAGGGAGCAGCCAATCCATGTGTTTCTCTCTGTGTTTCCCCCTCTCTCTCACTACCTCTAAAAATCAATAAAAAAATAAATAAATGAATACTTAAAAAAAAAAAAAAAAAGATGAGTACCAAGCTGAGGGGGGAAAGGTGTTAAAAAAAAAAAAAAACAAGAATAAGATTTCGAGTGGCAGGTTTGGTTCTCTACCCCATCAAGGGCCACTAGAGTGTGAATCTGGGACGAGGAGATACTAGGGACCATTGGAAAGCATAAATGGCAAGATTAACTCTTTCAGGGATGAGAAACTAATACTAAGAGACCCCGATAAGCTAACAAATAAGGGACTGTACAAAGCTAGCAAATAAATACTAGTACTAAGCCTTGTAAAAATTATGTTTGAATGAAAGGATAATATAATCAGAGTCCTCTCGCAAGTGAGGGAAGCCCCTGCAAACATCTGACCTTGCTGCTATAAGACTAAGAATAGCCGAAACCAGTTTGGCTCAGTGGATAGAGCGTTGGTCTGTGGATTGAAAGGTCCGGGCTTAATTCTGGTCAAGGGCATGTACGTTGGTTGCAGGCACATCCCCGGTAGGGGGTGTGCAGGAGGTAGCTGGTTGATGTTTCTCTCTCATCGACATTTCTAGCTCTCTATCCCTCTCCCTTCCTCTCTGTGGAAAATCAATAAAATATATATTAAAAAAAAAACAACTAAAAATAGTGTGACCACCAGGTCTACGACAGACTAGGAAAGTGGGGGGAAATCATATTTAATGTTGGTTTCTTTCCATCTTATTTACTACACCTTGCTTAAGAAATGCTTAATGAAGGTTTGTATTTCTTCAACAAATATTTATTCCCTGCTTAGCCTTAATAAGTGCTTCCTGAGTGCAGTGCCCAGGCAAGGTGACAGCAGCCTAGGCTTGGGGCTGTGTATTCACAGAGCTTACAACACAGTGTTTACCACCACCGAGAGTATAAGAGAATTAACAAAAAATTCCCTTAGAATATGCCAATTTTGGCACAGGAGGCAGCTTATTTTTAGTTTGCACACCTCCATTTACCTGGGAGTCAGGACTCCTGCGGACAGTCCTGCGTCTTCTCCTTTTCTTGGTGACATGGCCAGCTGGTTCCCACTCAGCTTGTTTCTGACTGCTGATCTGCATCTCAGTCTCATCACAAGAGGATGCAGAAGTTTGACTTTCATCCTGAAAAGAGAGATATTAATCTACCATGTCCAATATATAGAGGCATTCCACTCAGAAAGAATGAGCATTTAAACTGAATGAAAAACACATTACATCCAACCAGCATGGCTCAGTGTTGAGCGTCGACCTGGGAACCAGGATGTCACAGGGCACATCCCCGGGTTGTGGGCTCAGTCCCCTGTAGGAGGCGTGCAGGAGGCAGCCAATCAGTGATTCTCTCTCATCATTGATATTTCTATCTCTCTCCCTTACTCTCTGAAATCAATAAAAATACATTATAAAAAAATATGTATAATAGATGTCTGGCATTCTGTTAAAAAAAAAAAAAAGGTGCATGAATTTATTGAATATATGCTATGTGCCAGGCAGTACCCTATAACTAATAATAATTACAGCTAATATCACAACTTTATTGGACTGTTTACCTAGATTATCTCATTTAATTCTCAAAGCTTATGAGATAGGTAGTAATATTATCCACAATTGTCAGATGGGGATACGAGAGCCCAAAGCAGCTTGTCGAAGGTGAAAATAAGGAGTAAAGTAAGAACAGCACTTCACTACCATAAACTAAAAGTAAAGAGCTACATTGTCAAAACGGTACAGTACAGTTACCAGGACACCTCAAACAGACCTGCTTATATACTAAATCATTGTGTGATAATGGTTACACTTCATATTTTCGGGGAAGGTTGGATTCATTATTCAACACGTGATGCTGAGAAAATTGATTTTAATATTTTTTGGGGGGGAGGGACAATGAACTTCGATCATTCTCTCACACCAAAATGAAATCTGAATGTATTAAAGATTTAAATGTAAAAGATTAAAAGATAAAAGCACTAGAAAATAATCACGTGAGGGGAGGCTTTTTTACCTGTAGACTATAAAGGAAAGGTTTGATTTGTTTTTGGTGCTTTTCTAATTTTTTAATTCATAAGTTCTAATTTTTTTTAAGATAAACTAATTAAAAACATGTACATATGGCTAAAAAAAATACTAAAGAGATTATAATGAAAAGCAGTTGATTCTCTGCCTACCTTTCCTATTTCTCAAACTTAATTTCAGGTGGCTACTTATATATCACCAGTGACTTGCTGATGAGATATTCACTTATATTTTCTTTTCACTTACATTTTTAATAGCTATATTTAGTGCCTATCATGTGCTACAATTTATGTCATTTGTATCACCTCCCCATGCTCTTCCTAACAAAATCATACCACTTTAATCACTCATATAGATTTGCATCTTTAATATACTAAAGACCTTAAATCTTGTTCCACAAGTATATACATCTAGCTTGTAAACTGCAGATATTAGCATTCTTACACTTCACTTCTCAATTTCTGTCATCTATTCTCTTTAAGCATCCAAGTTGATAATATTTATAGCCTATTATGTAATCTTAACAATCATCTGTGCCTTTTCTGTATAGCTTGATTCTGAAAGCTATTGATAAATAAGTTATTGTAAGGTTTTTTAAAACAAAAAAATTTTGTTTTCTGTCATCTTTGTTTTGTTTAGGGTAATTTTATTTTATTTTATATATTTTATTGATTTTTTACAGAGAGAAAGGGAGAGGGATGAGAGATAAACATCGATCAGATGCCTCCTGCACACCCCTCACTGGGGATGTGCCCGCAACCAAGGTATATGCTCTTGACCGGAATCGAACCTGGAACCTTTCAGTCCGCAGGCCGATGCTCTATCCACTGAGCCAATCTGGTTTCAGCTAGGGTAATTTTTTAAATTGATTTGAGAGAAACATCGGTTTGTTGTTCCATTTATTGATTCATTGGTTCATTTTTTAAAATTTCAGACAGGAAGGGAGATGGGGAGAGAGATAGAAACATCAATGATGAGAGAGAATCGATAATTGGCTGCCTCCTACATGCCCCCTAATGAGTAGGGATCGGACTGGAAACACAAGCATGTGCCCTGACTGGAAATCAACCTGTGACCTTCTGGTTCATAGATTGATGTGCAACCACTGAGCAACCCCAGCTGGGCTATTGGTTGATTCTTGTATGAGCCCTGACTAGGGGATGAAGCCTACAACCTTGGTGTTTGGGGATGATGCTCAAATCATTGGTTACCGAGCTACCCAGCCAGAGCCTAGGGTCATGTTTTCTTTTCCTTAAACTCTGACAGGCCATTTCACTATAATGCCGGACCCCACCCTCTGAGAATGATTTAGTTGGCCTGGGTTTTGGTGAGGCCTATATACCAGTATTCTTAAAAATAATTCTCCCCAAATGATTTCCCCACACAACCTGAATTGAAAACCACAGTATAAAGTACATGTGTTGGGCTCTAGCTGGTTTGGCTCAGTGGACAGAGTGTCCCAAGTTTGATTCTGGTCAAGGGCACATGCCTGGGTTGCAGGCTCAATCCCCAGTGGGGGGTGTGCAGGAGGCATCTGATCAATGATTCCCGATCATCATTGATGTTCTATCTCTCTTTCCCTCTCCTTTCTTCTCTGAGATCAATAATGAATATATAAATAAATAAAGTAAATGTATTGGGAGCGAAAGAATAAGGAAGCTTAGAGAATGGAAGGTTTTAGTCAGAGGTGAAATATTACCAAGGGATATAAGTCCAGATATGCTCAATGAAATGGGTGGCTGATGAATAGCAGAAACGAAAGTCATAGGAGTTAAGGAACCATGAGACAAAAGAGTATTAAGAGACATCCAGATGAACCTTTGAATTCACTCAAAATAAGGTCAGAACATGAGGAAAACAAGAAGACAGTGAACATCAGAAAGCAACAGGAAGGCCAACAGGTAAGAAATGAGAATAGGTGAGTACAATGTCAAAGGAAGAGGGATGCTTACATGAGAGTAGAAAGGTACTATCTGGATATGACTTCCCAAGTCCCCGAATAGCCGTGGGGAAGAGTGAAAAGAAAAAGAAGAAACGTTGCACTCTAAAAGTGGTGCCTTCGGGTTACACGGTATAGACTGGAAGACACAGACACTTTTAAAGTGGTTATTCACCCAGTCTATACCACCCCCTACCTGGCCCCCATAGCAGCACCTCGCAGTATAGGTGCTATAGCTGGTTTTAGAAGCCGGTCAGCACAACTCTCAGAGATGTCTTGCTTTAACCCCACACACCTTAACCATGGTATGTTAGATGGGAGGCCAACAGTGATAGCGAACTTGTGTTCATTCCTGAATGTACTGTGCTTAACTATAAGAGACTTGTCTAAATCCAAGGCCCGGCAGGCGTGGCTCAGTGGTTGAAATATACCTATGAACCAGGAGGTTATGGTTCAATTCCTGGTCAGGGCACATGCCTGGGTTGTGGGCTTGATCCCCAATAGGGGGCATGCAGGAGGCAGCCAATCAATGATTCTCTCTCATCATTGATGTTTCTCTCTCTCTCTTCTTCTCCGTTCCTCTCTGAAATTAAAAAAAAAAAAAGACGAAAGAGACACACAGCCAAACTAACCTACATCTGAGCTGCTCCAATTCATAGATAAGGCTGACCTCTAGTGGGAGAATAAGGCTTCCAGAAGGTCTGATGTCACACTCACTCAGATATGATTCACACGTGGCCATCCCCAGGTAATGATTTGGGTGTCTGGAAGCTTAATCTTTTGTCTATCTATATGGGACATTAATGATCTCTTTGCCATGCATTTGGATTATGCTGACTCCTGTAGTCTTAGATAAATAAACTTTTTGTCCATCAGGTTTTTCCACCAATCCAAGGTCACGATTCATAGATTCACCACTTAGGAATTCTCTATCTGACTGAATATTGACTAGCATCCTGCTCTTGTGAAACTTTTTCCAAAAAGAATAGCTCCTTCCCTGACCCATTTGGCTCAGTGGATAGAGTATGGGCCCTTGGACTCAAGGGTCCCAAGCTCGATTCTGGTCAAGGGCATGTACCTTGGTTGCAGGCACATCACGGAGTGGTGGTGGGGGGGAGATATATGCAGGAAGCAGCTGATTGATGTTTCTCTCTCATCAATGTTTCTAACTCTCCCTCTCCTTTCCTCTCCGTAAAAAAAAAAAAAAAAAAATCAATAAAATATTTATTTTTTAAAGAATGGCTCCTGAGATGTTGAATTTAAAATATGATAGATTATTTTATTTTATTTATTTATTTTTTAAAAAATATATTTTTATTGATTTTTTACAGAGAGGATGGGAGAGAGATAGAGAGCTAGAAACGTTGATGAGAGAGAAACACTAACCAGCTGCCTCCTGCACACTCCCCACTGGAGATGTGCCCACAACCAACGCACATGCCCCTGACCGGAATCGAACCTGGGATCTTTCAGTCTGCAGACTGACGCTCTACCACTGAGCCAAACCAGTTTCAGCATGATAGATTATTTTAAATTTAATTTACCAATTACTATCAGGTTCAGATAGAACTATAATCATGTATCCTTAATCATTTAAAAATACACACAGATTGCCGGGACCGGTTTGGCTCAGTGGATAGAGCGTCGGCCTGCGGACTGAAAGGTCCTGGGTTTGATTCCGGGCAAGGGCATGTACCTTGGTTGCAGGCACATCCCCAGTGGGGGGTGTGCAAGAGGCAGCTGATCGATGATTCTCTCTCATCGATGTTTCTAACTCTCTATCACTCTCTCTTCCTCTCTGTGAAAAATCAATAAAAAAAAATATTAAAAAAAAAATACACACAAATAAAATTATTTAATTGATGTAAAAACTATTAATTTTGTTGTCTATTTTTAGTTAATTAAAACCTGGAATCAAAGGAATTTTAAATGTTTATAACTTGGAACACAGTTAGAGAGACTATACAGTCAGAGAAGAGGAAGTTAGATTTTCAGTTCATGTTTATATTTATCTTCATTTCCAGATATATAACAGATTCTCCAAGGCCCAGTTCGGTAAGGCCTTCCAACACTTTCCCTATTTCAAGTTAAGCCACCTACCTGGCTCTAATGAAGCCTTCATTGATCCTGTTAGGCCGCATGCCCTCTCAGAAACCTGTGGTGTAGATTTAAAGCAGCCGTGACAACCTCTGCCATCAGCAGTGCTTTACAATTTGCTACAAGTCTCTTTAGCTCAGAACAGGAAACTAAAAATCAAGGAGTTTGAGTTTTCTCAGGTAATACACAAGAAAATGACAAAGCTGCTACTTAAACTGGGTTTTTCCAACTTTGAATCTAGTTCCTTCCCTACTCATAACAAGTTATCTCTTATAACTTTTGGCAACTGAGTAAACTTTTGCAATTGTACAGGAACATCTTATTCAACAGATTACTTGCTGCAAGACACCATTTATAACCAATAGTTTTTTTTGTTTAAATATATTTTATTGATTTTTCACAGAGAAGAAGAGAGAGGGCCAGAGAGTTAAAAACATCAATGAGAAACACTGATCAGCTGCCTCCAGCACCCCCCCCACCGGGGATGTGCCCACAACCAAGGTACATGCCCTTGCCCGGAATCGAACCCGGGACTCTTCAGTCCGCAGGCCAAGGCTCTATCCACTGAGCCAAACTGGTTTCGGCTATAACCAATAGTTTTCATAAAAGGACTCACCATAACCAATCATGATCTTTTTTGTAATAAACAGTATGTCTTAAACGACATCATTAATTTGTTTATCATTCATCATCTAAACATGATTGTTTTGCTAAACAGGTGCTGAAAAACCTTACTTACCTGCTTTCCATTTTCTTTTCTTGCTTCCCCTTTCAGGTGGGCTTTCAAGGCTTTTAGCAGCTTGTCTGCCTGCAGGAAAGTTAAAGATCTTAACAGGAGAGCCAAAAGCCAAATAAGCAAGACAGATACATTGAACATTTCTTTCTGTTCTTGTATTCACCAAATGCTCTTTGAGCGGCGGGCTCTGGGAATAAAATGAAGACTGAAACAGAACTGCTCCCTGCCCTCACAGACTTCACAGCAGCGTGAAGGCAGACAAGGAAAGGCAATGAAAACGCAGCTGGGGAAGCTCAGGAGGTGAGAGAATACAGCTGGGCTTCCCCTTAAGGTAGAGACTTCAGCAGGTAACTGAATGTTATCAAACTGGTGTAACTGTTACATTTTTTAAAATAGCTAAATCTTGATAATTTCTTGGAGCAATTTATTCATTTTTACTATGTACTTGGAATTTAAAAAGGCAATTGATTTAAGGAGCTCGTGGGCTGTACCAACTATAAATAATTTAGAATACTTTCATTATGGAAAATTTCAAATACATACAAAAGTAGAGACTAGTTTCAACACCAAAGTATTTTATAGCAAATCCAAGCCATCATAACATTTCACCTGTAAATACTTGGTATTACCAAGAGATAAGGTCTTACTAGTAAAAAAAATAACAAGAGAAACACAGCCACACTACCATTATGATACTGAATAAAATTAACAATATCTAATACCTAGTCTAAGTTTAACTTTATCCATGTCAAAGGTGTCTTTTTATAATTGGCTATAATAAAGCCTTGTATGATCAAATTTGCCTGAGAATTGTACCTTTCAACAAATATTTGACACCTTCTATGTGCCAGATATTGTATGCTAGGCAGGCTATGGGGTCTATAGTAACAAATACTGTATTACTATATCTCTATGAAAACAGATGATTAATTACTACCTCAGATCAGGTGCCTCAAGAGACAATGATAGGTGGGACTTTCAGAAAAAGATCTAAATTTGCAATAGCTCTTTAGAGATCCAGTGGTTGTGGGGCCTGACTGTCAGTCAGAGCACTGAATTCAGGTAGAAACCTCTTCCGTAAATCTCTTGCTATCCTGTGGTGCACTGCCAAAAAATTGGAAAATTCAACATAGTAGCACTTGTATAATTTGTAATAGCACCCAGAATCTCTTAATACTTTATTGGGGGGCCTGGAAGTAAGAATGGTTTTTAAGAGATCGTCCCTATGGACACATTTTTGTAACTCAGGCTTGATCTGGAATGATCGTTCATGTATTGATCACTATTGTATTAGTGTTTCCAAACCAGTAAGGTCTTTGATTCCGAGGCTGCAAAAATGTTGGGAGGGAAATGTGGAGATGCATTTTGGGATGGGGTTTTCATAGAGATGGAGTAATACAGTATTTGTTACTATTTACTAGGTGTAAATAACAGTCTGAATAAATACTCAGCATCTCCCACATAAAATGTACTGACTTAGGAGTACTGTGAAGGCTTCCAAGGTGGAAGGATGAAAAGATTCCAGTTCAAGAAACTTAACTTTTAGTAGAGAAGAAAACACACAGAGTACAAGGTGAAAGCCTGCAAGCGCTCAAAGTCAGCACTTAAAAATAAACTGTTTAAAAGCACAGAGGGCTCCTGGGGTTACTGGGGTGGTGGACCTGTGGCTAAGGAAATGAAGAGGAGGGATGGGGCATCATGTCAGTGATGACAGTTCAGTGGGACTGTGATAGAGAGGAGGGGAGTTGCAGGGCTGGGTGGAAAAGGTGAAGGGATTAAGCAAAAACTCAGACAGACAATATTATGGTGATTACCAGAGGGAAAAGGAGGGATGGGGGAAGTAGAAGAGGGTATGGGGAGATAAGTGGTGCTGAAAGGAGACTTAATTTGGGGTGGTGAACACACAATATACAGCTGACGTATTACAGAATGGTACACCTGAAGACTATTTCATTTTATTAACCAATGTCATCCCAATACATTAAATAAAAAGGGGAAAAGAATAAATGGAAATGATTCATGCAGATAAAGAAGGCAAAAGGAGGTGATCTGAGCCAAAGGTTCAAAAATAGCAAAGGCGATATGATGGACAAAGGTACCAAGTTTCGATGCAGTGGTGGATAAAAGATTCTAGCAACACTGCAAAAAGCCTAAGGAATTTAAGCTGAGGTATTCGGCTTTGTTTATGAAGTATTAGGGAACCATTAAACATCATAACTCAGAAATATCTCCAAAGACCCTCCTTTATTATTCTGCCACAACAGATACCCGAGCACTGATTATTTTGTTTAAACCATTTAAAGGCCATAAGAACAAATCTCCAGAGAATACATTAGCATTATATAAGAAAATGCCACTAGAATCTAATATATTAGAAACCCCATCCCATAGTGCATCTCCACATTTCCCTCCAACATTTTGCGGCCTCGGAGTCAAAGACCTTACTGGTTTGGAAACACTAATACAATAGTGATCAATACATGAACGATCATTCCAGATCAAGCCTGAGTTACAAAAATGTGTCCATAGGGACGGTCCCTTAAAAACCACTCTTACTTCCAGGCCCCCCAATAAAGTATAATAAAGAGATTCTGGGTGCTATTACAAATTATACAAGTGCTATTATGTTGAATTTTCCAAAAGCCAAGGCAGTATTTCCGCGACTGCCTACCAATTAACGGGCATTAGGGAGCTCCTTGAGCTTTCTGGGCCTGCATTTCCTAACCGATGCCCTGGGAAGTGTCACAGAGTAGTTCCAATAAACCCAAACCAAACAAATCCTTCTGAAGCCACGGCCTTATGGGAGCCCCCAGAAAAGTCAGCCTCAAAATCAGGTGAAGACTATGGTTCCCTTCCCGCCCAATGTTTGCAGTGGAGGGGAACCATGCCTGCTCCTTCCCCTGCAGGGCCCGCCCGGTCCCTGCGCACCGCTTCCCCGGGGGCCAGGCCGCTCAGCCCACCCCGCCCGCCACCGTTCGGTCCCGCCGCTCCTTACCCTCAGGTTAGCCCGGAGGCCCAGGCTCTTGGCCAAGTTCTGCAGGTCACTGTACTTGAGGGAGTCCAGCTCCTCGAGGGAGGGGACGGTCATCCCGACCAGCAATGCAGGCAACCAGGCGAAGCAGCACCCCCCAACCTCAGGCGCGCGGTTCAAAACTCGGGCGCCCTGTAGTCGTTGACCCAGTCAAGCTTTATACACAGTTTAAATGAAGAATGCTGCCCTTCCATTGGCTACAAATGTATGGAAGGCGGGGTTTCCCGGAGTTGACCAATAGAAAGGCTAGTCCCTTCACGTTCTGTCACGGCCCCCCTCACCAAAGTGATTGGTCGCCTAAGGGCGTGTCCAGGCAGGGCCTGCGCTTCAGGGCCGGCTCGCGGTGTCCAATGAGGACGCAGGACCCGTGCTTGGGGCGGGGCCTGGCGCGCGTGCGCGCGTTTGAAATCCCGGCGGGGCGACGGCAGCGGGAAGATGGCTGCCCGGCCGGGGCGGCATCGCTCTCGGTACGCGAAGCTGCGGGAGGCTGACGTTTGGGATGGCACTAAGACACTTGACAGATCCTCTTTTGCGACGTCCATGGAGTGGGACACGCAGGTGGTGAAGGGGTCCTCGCCGCTCGGCTCCGCGGAGCTGTGGGCGGAGGAGCCGCCGTCCGGCCCGCGGCTGCCGGCCTGGCTGCGGCCCGAGCGGTGCGCCGTGTTCCAGTGCGCGCGCTGCCACGCCGTGCTCGGCGACTCGGTGCACCTCGCCTGGGACCTCTCGCGGTCCCTCGGGGCCGTGGTTTTCTCCGGTGAGTGCGGGCGGCGGCTGGGGGAGGCGCGGGAGGGTGTTCCCGCCCTCCCCGGGTGGCTGAGAGCCGGGTGGGGAAGAAAACGGAATTCATGTCTGGAAATGGGGGGAAGCTTTTCTTGATTATTATGAACATGATGAGCCTGTCTGGAGGAGTAGGATTTCCCGTCAAGGCCGCACAGGTGCTGGTTTTGCTCACCTTTTTTTTTTTTTTTTTTTTTTTTTTTTTTTTAATCATAGGGGTCACAAATAACGTTGTTCTGGAAGCTCCCTTCCTTGTTGGCATCGAAGGTTTACTCAAGGGCAGGTACGTGCTGGGATTCCTGGTCGGCCTCCAGTCCTTGACTTGATGGTACTGAGGAGCGATCTTGCGCTGGAAGAAAGTTTATTCCATCCATACAATTGTATTGGATGTTTGTTCCTTTTACCTGTTTCTGTCTTCTACGGACTTGATGCAATAATCGGTGGAAGAGTTGTATTAGTGGATAGATTTTAAGATCTCTTTGAGGGCCATGTATCCCTAGTGGCTTGTGCAAGTGAAGTGAGGCTAAGAAGGTATGTCTAGTAGAGGAAAAAGGAGAAAATTATGTTGTTTGTTTGTGTTAATCCTCACCCGAGGATATTTTTCCATTGATTTTTAATATATTTTGTTAATTTTTTACAGGGAGGAAGGGAGAGGGTTAGAAAATGAGAAACATCGATTAGAGAGAAACATAGATCAGCTTCCTCCTGCACACACCCCACTGGGGATGTGCCTGCAACCAAGGTACATGCCCCTGACTGGAATTGAACCTGGGACCCTTGAGTCCGCAGGCTCTATCCACTGAGCCAAACCAGTCAGGGCTTTCCATTGGTCTTTAGAGAGAGTGTAAGGGAGAGGGAAAGACAGAGAGAAACATCCATGTGAGAGCGACACATCAGATTTTCTTTCTCACCCATATTCTGTTTGTTTGTTTTTTCTCCTCCAGCACTTACAACCTTTTATTCTGTAGTTCCTGTGAGATTCCCATTGGTTTCCATCTGTATTCTACCCATGCTGCCCTGGGTGCATTGAAAGGTCACTTCTGCCTTTCCAGTGACAAAATGGAATGGTGAGTAGACTTAGTCTTTTTTTTTTAATTGATTTTTAGAGAGAAACATTGATGTGAGAGGAAAACATCAATACGCTGCTTCCTGCATGCCCCCTACCAGGAATGGAGCCTGCAACCCAGGCATGTGTCTTGATTGGGAATCGAACTGGCAACCCTTCCGTGCACAGGAGGACTCCTAACAAACTGAGCCACACCAACCAGAGCGACAAAGATATTCTTTATTGAATAAATTTATAAGATCTTCTAGAAAAGGCAAAATGTTCCCACCAAAGAAGATGTTCAAGCCAGGCACTGCCTCTTATAAAAAAGATTTTAGCTCTCTTTTCCTCCCTTCTTCTCTCTGTGATCAATTAAAAAACAAAACAAAACCAACAACCCTGGTCTATGTGGCTCAGTCAGTTGGAGCGTTGTCTTGTATACCAAAAGGCATATAGGCTTCTATTCCTGGGCAGGGCACATACCCAGGTTTTGGGCTGGTCTGTCTTTCTCTCTCTCTCTCTTTCTCCCTTCCTCTCTGAAATCAATAAAAATTATTAAAAACAAACAAAGAATCAGTAAATATATAAATAGGTGGAACAACAAATTGATGTTTCTCTCAAAATTAATAGGTTAAAAAATGTCTTTTTTTAATCATTAAAAACAAAAGAACAAAAATTGCCATTGATAACCTAATTTTGCCATGCATTATGCTTATCTCACTAAGTTCATAAAATAAGAAAACTGAGTCTCAGAGAGATAGAGGAACTGAGATTTGAATCCATGTCTTAACTCTAAAGCTCATTTTCCTTTCATAAAGGAAACAAAGTTTCCCTTTTCTCTTTTAATATGCTTAGCTAGGTATCTCTAGCTGAGTTATGGATGACTAAGCAATAAAACTCTTAAGTAAAGCCCATCCTTTACCATGAGGTTGTTCAGTGTGCACTAGATATACCATTTGTTCTTCAATGCAAATTTTCAAAAGGAAATATACACTTGAGATGTACTTCAATTTCGAGTTTCTTCTTAAATAATTTCTATTTAGAATTAAGTTTAAAGAGGGGGATAACTAAATGTGTGCTATTAGTAACCTCAAATATTTTTTATAAGTTATTGTTTAAGCAGAGCTGTAATTGAATTTTGTTTAGGGGAAATAAACTTTTAGTAACAAAAAAAAATTTTTTTTTTAAAGTATATTTTATTGATTTTTGTACAGAGAGGAAGGGAGATAGTTAGAAACATTGATGAAAGAGAGTCATTGATCAGCTGCCTCTTGCACACCCCCTACTGGGGATATGCCCGCAACCAAGGTACATGCCCTTGACCGAAATCGAACTCGAGACCCTTCAGTCCCCAAGCCAACACTTTATCCATTGAGCCAAACTGGTTTCGGCTAATAACAAAAAATTTTAATATAAATTTTAAAAGCACTATGGGATTCTATCTCATTTCTTAATCTGTAAAATGAGTTGCACTCAAAGGTCCGTATATTCTTTTTTATTAATTAGAAATTAGGAAAATATCGGTAGCATGAGTCTGGAAAGATAATAAATCTGTATCTGTTTGTATCAGGGTGAATTTGGTTGCCAGTCACAGAAAACCGACGATGTGGCTTTCACAAGTAAGGGCTGGGGCAGTTGGCCACTCCAGGAGTTTCCCAGTGGCTCAGCCCTGGCAGAACTCTGAGTCCTCATCTCTGGTTCTCTTGGCCCTTTCTTCTTGGAGGCAAGATGGCTGCTGCAGTTATAAGCATTACATTCATAGACAGTATCCTCTCCACTGGCTGGAAAAGGATATGGGAAGAATGGGAATGTCTTATTAGCACTATGTCACATGATCACTTAAACTAGGACAGCAAGTGATGTGACAGTAGGGAATAAGATTGCCTACGGGCTTAGAATAGTGTGGTTCATCTCCTAGGACTGGGCACACTGCTGCCCTAAACAAAATTTTGTTAACACCAAAGAACTGAGGAGTAGCTTCTGGGTAGCCAAGTAGTTATTTTTCATAATGTGATTCTTTTTTCTTCTACCCTGTTTCCCTGAAAATAAGACATTGTCTTATATTAATTTTTTTTCCCAAAGTTGCGCTAGGTCTTATCCATGCGCTAGGTCTTATTTTCGGAGGATGTCTTATTTTCGGGGAAACACGGTAGCTGTGCTCTATGATCTAATGGTGGGGTGTGAAGCTTATACTCATCAGGATTATTCCTATGACCCTGATTTTTTTTCTAGTTTCTCCTGGGTTAATTTTATCTCATGTATTCCTGACTGGTAAGGGGACAATGTCTCTGATGATTTGTTAATTGATAATTTGTTTTTTCTACAAAATACACTGTGAATCTTGAAATGGAAATCAGTAAGAAGGCTGTCTTTGCTTGACACTTACTGCTTTAGAGAGCAAGTTTGCTTCACTGATTATCTTAACTGTGGTCTAATACTAATATTTTCTATTTTCTATCTAGCTATCTCTTAAAAACAAAAGCCATAGTAAATGCATCTGAGATGGATATTCACAACATGCCTCTACCAGAAAAGATTGCAGAGGTAACATTTCATTATTGTTATGTATCCTTAAATCTAGACAATTCCTGGTAATTTGTACTAATGATCTTGGGAATGATGAAACGATATGATACTCCAACAATTTTTTTAATGGATTTTTTTTTCTGAAGAGGAAGAAAGATATGGATATGCAAGAGATACATCAGTTGACTGCCTCCCACATGCCCTCAGTGGGGATCTAACCCTCAACCCAGGTTCTAAATGCCCTGACCGGGAATCGAACCTGGGACCTTCTGGTGCACAGAATGACAATCCAACAAACTGAGCCACACGGACCAGGGCAATTAAAAGTTCTTCCTTTTTTTTTTTTTTTTTTAATATATTTTATTGATTTTTTACAGAAAGGAAGGGAGAGAGAGAGAGCGAGCTAGAAATATCGATGAGAGAGAAACATCGACCAGCTGCCTCTTGCACACCCCAGTGTGGAGTGTGCAGGAGGCAGCTGATCGATATTTCTCTCTCATCTATGTTTCTGGCTCTCTATCTCTCTTCCTTCCTCTCTGTAAAAAATCAATAAAATATATTTTAAAAAATAAAATAGTCTAGCCAACTTTCTAAACAGTTGAACAAATCATCACTATAGGAAGGAATGTGTGTCCTGTTTAGTATCCAGAGTTGCTACAATATATTATCTAAACTGTCCATTAAAGTAAGTAAATAAATAAATTGTCCATTTTCAATAAAAAATTAGACACACAAAGAAAAGTATGATCCATACACTGGATAAAAAGCAGACATCAGAGCCCTAGCCAGGTTGGCTCAGTGAATAGAGCATCACGCTGTGGACTAAAGAGTCCTATGTCCGATTCTGCTCAAAGGCTTGTGCCTTAGCTGCAGGCTCGATCCCCAGCTCTGGTTGGGGTTGTGTGGAAAGCAATCAATATGTCTCACATCGATGTTTCTGTCTCTCCCACTCTCTGAAAATCAATGGAAAAATATCCTTGGGTAATAATTAGCAACAAAAAAGTAGACAACAGACACTGCCTTTTATTTTATTTTATTTATTTATTTTAAATATATTTTATTGATATTTCACGGAGAAGAGGAAGGGAGAGAGATAGAGAGCTCGAAACGTCGATGACAAACATCGACCAGCTGCCTCTTGCACACCCCCTACCGGGGATGTGCCCGCAACCAAGGTACATGCCCTTGACCGGAATCGAACCTGGGACCCTTCAGTCCGCAGACCGACGCTCCACCACTGAGCCAAACCGGCTTTGGCACAGACGCTGCCTTTTAAAGAATCCAAATATTAGAAGACAAAGCCTTCAAAGCTGCTAATATAAATATGTCTAAAACCTAAAGAAAAACATGCTTAAAGAAGGAAAGGCATGATGACAGTGTCTCTTCAAATAGAGGCAATCCCTGAAAGAGAGAGAAATTATCTTACCTAATAATAGACAAACATGTAAATTGACCTTACCTTCACTATGCCCATAGCCAATCACTGACTATGCAAATTAATAAAAAATATGGTGGTTAATTTGCATACATAGGCTCCCAGCGCCTGTGTCCCTGGAACATCCTGGCACCCAGATCACTGCGATGTAAGGCCTGGCAGGAGCGGACCCGGCGATCGAACACAGGGAGCTGGGGATCCACTCCTGCCTTAGGTGAAGGGACTGGAGTGTGAACTATAGAGGAAAACCTTTTCTGACTGCACATTGGCTAAGCTCCCTGTATGCCACTGGTAATATTCTTAGTAACTTTGATAATAAGAATCCAAAAAGGTGATCTAAGGTTTTTCCGCCACATTTCTGGAGAAGAAAAAAACACAAAGATCTGCTGCTGGAGGGCTAAGAAATGTCATATCCTGCCCTAGCTGATTTGACTCAGTGGATAATGCCTCGACTTGCCAACAGCAGGGTCTGGGTTTGATTCTGATCAAGGACATGTACCTAGGTTGCAGGCTCCTCCCTGGCTGGGGCCCAGATCAGGGCTCATGCAGGAGGCAACCAATCAAAGTGTTCCTCTCACTTTTATGTTTCTCTCTGTCTTTCCCTTTCTCTTCCACATTCTCTAAAAGTCAATGGAAACATATCCTCAGGTGAGGATAAAATAAAGAAAGAAAGAAATGCATATCCTATAAAAGACACATCTTGAAAATGCCTAAAGAAAGTTGTCATTTTTTCATGGTGAAGGGACTGGAGTCTGTGTTGATAAAAACACCTTGGTGGCGGCAGTGACTGGCAGTGGCTGCAGCAGCAGGGGGATGGGACTGTTGCCTTCCCTGATCAGCTCAGTTGCCTCCCTCAGAGGGAAGCCAGACTGCAGCTCAGGTCCACAGGGAGCAGGCCTAAGCTGCCAGTAGGACATAACCTGAGGGCTCCTAGTATGTCAGAGGGGGCAGGTTGGGCTGAGGGATCCCTCTACCCCCAGTGCACAAATTTTGTGCACCAGGCCCCTAGTAATTAAATAAAAATCCTGTGAGTTGAAAAGTATAAAAACTGAAATGAAAGATTCACTAGAGGGGTGCAACGAATTTGAACTGGCCAAAGAAAGAAGCAGCAAACATAGAGATATGGATTGATAACCTTATGCAATCTGAAGAAGAGAGAATAAAGAAAGTAAAATGAACTGAGCCTAAGAGATTTACATCAAACACACCTAAATATGCTTTAGTGATGGGAGTAAAAAAAAGGAGAGAGCCCTGGCCTGTTTGGCTCAGTGGATAGAGCATTGGCCTGTGGACTGAAGGATCCTGGGTTCGATTCTGGTCAAGGGCATGTGCTTTAGTTGTGGACACATCCCCGCAAGAGATATGCATGAGGCAACTGATCGATGTTACTCTCTTCTCAATGTTCCTTACTCTCCCTCTCCCTCTCTGTAAAAAAATCAATTAAAAAAAAATATTTTTTTTTTTAAAAAGAAAGAAAAAAAATGTTCAAGGAGATATGGTTAAAAATTTTCAAGTTTGATGGAAAGCATTAATCTATACATATTTGAAACTTCAACAGGTCAGGAAGGATAAATGCAGAGAGATCTATATACCTCAGCACGTCATAGTAAAAATATTGGAATATAGATAGATTTTATCTCTATTGTGTGTGTTATTTTATTTTGCTTTTTCCAGTCTGAAGCTGCTATCATGGGCATTTAGTTATACAAATGACACAAAAAAATAAAACATCATGACGCCCAGAGTGATATGCACGGCGGACAGGGGGTTGAGGGCTGGTAGGGGTGAGAGAAATTTCTTGAAAGCAAAAGAAAAATGATTATGTCCAGGGGCACCCCACTAAGAATTATCTGTTTAAGCAAAATTTTCTGATAAATTTTGTATATGCTTATATCTTGAGTCATAAAAAATAGATTTAGTGTACTGTACAAATTGTGGAAATAAAGTTTTTTTTGTTGTTACCCATGACTTCAACAGAAAACTGTTAATCCATTTTTCCTTATTCCATGATGTTTATTTTTATTTATAAGTCTAAGTACATAGTGTATGCTGAAGAACACTAAATTTGGTTCTTAATACAACTATTCTATGGTAAAAGAACTATAGAAAATTATCAGATTGCAATAAATATCTCTCCTAAACCTGACAATTAGAGCTACTTCTAAAGACCATTAGAATATTAAAGAAAGGTATTTTGTCTTTCCCAATTTTTGGAGTTTAAACCTGGTAATAGAAGTAGGAAGGAGGAAGATAGAAGTAACAATGACTAGTCTCTTTTCATGTGAAATCTTATATCTGAGGATCTTATTATACTCTATGTAACATAAACTTCTTTTAGAAAGAGAGAACAAATGTATTAATGAAACGTGTTGAGACATTGCCAACTCCCAATCACTAGCATGAATTTGAAGTGACTTCTAGAATCAGCAAATTGAGAGGTAGATGCCCTGATATGTATATATTTCTCTTCCCAGCTAAAAGAGAAGATAATACTAACCCATAATCACTTAAGTTCATTGATGAAGATGCTGGAGGAAGTAACTCCTGACCAGTCCAACACAGAAAACTGATCTAGAACCAGAGCTTGATTATTAGGGTCAGGCCTCACTGCCATCTTCAAAGACAGGTGCTGTTCAACCATTTCTTGAGAAAGTTCAACTTCAAGAATGGACAGGAAATGTGGTTTATTATGTGTACATCTAGGCTGATTTTCCAAATGATTTGTGAAGCTGTTTATAGAAGATGAGAAATTAAGGAGCTCTCTGGCCAAGATTCATATCTACTTGACTTCTGAAATTATTTTAGCTCAGTTTCATAGTCATTTCTGAAAACACCTTTAACTGCATATTTAGGGATTAAGGGGCAATGTGCCACGAATGATCTTAAGAAATATATGGTAATAGCCGGGACCGGTTTGGCTCAATGGATAGAGCGTCGGCTTGGGGACTGAAGGGTCCCGGGTTCGATTCCGGTCAAGGGCATGTACCTTGGCTGCGGGCAGATCCCCAGTAGGGGGTGTGCAAGAGGCAGCTGATCGATGACTCTCTCTCATCGATGTTTCTAACTCTCTATCTCTCTCCCTTCCTCTCTGTACAAAAATCAATAAAATATATATTTAAAAAAAAAAAAAAAAAAAAAAAAAAAAAAAAAAGAAATATATGGTAATAAAGTTGTACTTAATGTTGACTACTGTGATTCCTACATGGAGCAGTTATATGAATAGTTGTAACCAAGAATTAACATTTCAGTTCAGCAATAAAGGTTTTATATTCTGCATTTTCTCAAGATTATAGTCAGCCCTGTGTTTATTGAAATGTGTAAATAGCCCTAGCTGGTTTGGCTCAGTGGATAGAGTGTCGCCCTATGGCCTGAGGGGTCCTGGTTCGATTTCGGGCAAGGGCACCTGCCCAGGTTTCGGGCTCAATCCCAGTGTGGGGAGTGCAGGATTCTCATCATTGATGTTTCTATCCCTCTTTCCCTCTTCCTTCCTCTCTGAAATCAATAAAAGTAAATTTAAAAAAAAGGTGTAAATAAATTCCGTGTTTTCACTTCTTACTGAGCTTTAAATTACAGCTTAGAGCAGCCTGTTTTAGGGGAGAGGGCTCGCTCTCTCTTTCTCTGTGCCAACCATGAGCTATAAGTCCACAGATTACTATTTGAAGACAGGGAGCCTCTGAACAAGGGGAGGAAGCTTGAGAAGGAGCTCTGCAACTACCCCTGGCCACCTCCCCATCTTTTCCTTGCTCCCTCTTCCCTTTCTCAAGAGAAGCGGCAAGTTCCTACTCCCCTTCAGTTCCCTCCCTTTACTCCTGGGAGAGTGAGCACATCCACAGCTCCCGCCTGATCTCTTAGTTGTGCTTTCTCTCTCCTTATAAAAAAGCCTCTACCTGCATTGAGATTTTAAGATTTTTAAAAAATATATTTTTATTGATTTCAGAGAGAAACATCCATGATGAGAGAGAACCATTGACTGGCTGCCTCCTGCACGCCCCTTATTGGGGATTGAGCCTGCAACCTGGGCATGTGCCCTTGACCAAATCGAACTTGGGACCCTTCAGTCCACAGGTTGACACTCCATTGAGCCAAACCGGGTTGTGACAAATTTTCTTTTTCAAAACCTCATTATGGTTGTCCTTTGGAGGATAATCTACCACTAAAGAGGAGCTAACAGTAGCACAATCGAGATGATATAGCCAAGTGGTGGTGCATAGGGAAGCTAACTTTGTTCAGGTGTAGCTAGATTTTTTTAAAATCCGTTCCTGAGGATATGCTTAAAAATATATTTCTTATTGATTTCTTACAGAATGGAAGGGAGAGGGAGTTAGAAACATCGATGAAAAACACCCTTCAGTCCACAGGCTGATGCTCTGTTCACTGAGCCAAACCAGTTTCAGCGAGGATATGCTTATTGGCTTGAGATGGGGAGGAAGATAGGGAAACACATGGATGTGAGAGAGAACATTGGTTGTCTTCTGTAAGTGTCCTGACCTGAAACCTAGATATGTGTCCTGATTGGAGTCAAACCAGCAACCTTGCATTACTCAAGGCGATGCTCCTCGCGCAGTCATCACAAAATGGCTGCCACAAGGTGGCTGGCACAGGAGGGCAGTTGTGGGTGATCTGGCCGGCAGGGAAGGGCAGTTCATAGGTTGATCCTCAACCATTAAGCCATGCCAGATGGGCCATCTTATTTTAAGCCCAGTATCTAGCATAGTACTTGGCAGTGGAGTATTTCAGTAAGTGAATCCTATCTAATAAAGAGAATATGTTAATTGACCATCACTCCACAAATATGGCTGCACCAACAGCTGAAGACAAGTTCCCATAAGGAGCCTTAACAAGCAATCAGCAAGGACCTGAGTCTATTCCCTCTCCACTCCCATAGGGAACCTCAGGCCACATCCCCTAACTGGCAAGGTTTGACAGGGGACCTCAAGGTGAGCTTCCTGTCCTGGTGCTGGGCTAGGGGACCTCAGGCTGCTCCCCCTGCCCCAGCACCTGGCCGGAGGACCTAGGGCAGCACCCCTCACCCCAGCACTGGGCCAGGGGACCTGAGACTATGCCCCCCTGCCTGGTGGGGCTTAACAGGGAACTTCATGCCATGCTCTCCACCCAGCGGGGCTTGATAGGGGATCTCAAGGTGCACCCCCAGTGCTGGGTTGGGGGAACTCAGGCCACCACCCCCGTCCCCCCCAGCTAGTGGGGCTTGACATGAGACCTGAGGCTGCATCCTCCCTCCCCCAAGGCTTAATGGGGGACCTCAGGCCATGTTCCTCACCTGACAGGGCTTGACGGGGGACCTCAAGGCATGTCCCCTGCCCATCTGGGCTGGGGGCCTTCAGGCCATGCCCCATGCCTGCTGGGCTTGACAAGGGTGGGACTGGTTGGTTCTGGATCTAGGCCAATGGGGGCAGGGACCGACTGGGTCAGGGTCTCACATGATTTTGAGGTACATCTGGGTGGGCGGGGATTTGACTCTGGGTCCCATGGTGTGCCCCAGACTGACAGGATGAAGGTTTTCATACATTTTACTAATTTTCTTCCATAGGGCAAATATAATTATAAATTATTTACTCTCATTAATCCCCTTTTAATGTGCACTAATTTCATGAACCCACTAGTGTTAAATAAAATCTCTTGATTTATTGCATTAGTCACACCATAAAACCACAGCTGCTTTTCCTCTGCATTTACAATATTCAATCACAAGGAAGTCTATTAAAGCCTAATTTTTTACTTAAAAAAACTCCTTTTATCTTAAGGGGGAAGCATCTGTTCTTTATTATAGTATTAAAATCTATTTAACTTAGCTAACATTTAATTAAATTTAAAGTGGATGCCTCTTGGCGTGCTCTTTCTCAGGAGCATGCCCATGTCTTTCCCTTCCTCTTCTCCCTAAGCACGTTACCTTTGTCTTTCTGCTAAACTCCAAGGGCCCTTCTACTGCCTTTGGAACGTTTCCTGAGCCTATGCAGCTCAGCTGGCTCACTTGTACTACCTCTATAACTTTATAAATGGCTGCCTGTTCACTTGGACAAAACGATACCTCAGGTATCTGGAGTCTACCTTAGCACAGGTCTGTGTATAGGTTCCTTTTCCCATCCTCTTAATTTACTGCATTGTTTATTAGAAATTACCCATTCCAAGGAACAACAAAGTGAAATTTCAGTACATTCTCAGCCCATGCTGCTTTATTGCCAAAAATATATATATATACATACACAGGTGCAGAGTTTCCAATTCTTAACGCGGCTCCTTTTTACATAAAATCTTTAGAAAACAAATCTTTTCTAAATTCCCAAAGATGCATAGATTAAAAAGCAAGTTGCTTTTGTAATACTTTAAACATTCAATGAAATTCTTTTAACATTATCGCCTATACTACTGGTGCAATGAAGATACAGAATATTAAGTAAAAACATTGAGCAACACTATACTTAAAAGGACAGGTAGCACATAAAACCCTATGTAAAGAATACTCTAATGCAGTGTTTCCCAAACTTTTGACATGTGTACCCCTTCTATAATTTTCGTAACGCTGAGTACCCCTCATAGTCATGAGAAAGTAGAATTAGGCGCAGCTAAGCACGATGCAGTGCATATCCCCACCAAACTCTGGTGCAACTCGTACCCCCACCAAATTCTTCCGGAACCTTTGGGGGTACGCATACCACACTTTGGGAAACACTGCATGTAATTCTTAGTGATGGTGATTTTAAGGTAAGTGCCAAGATGATTACTATTGTTTAAGGACTGATGATAATGTATTGCCAGAATCTTTTGTTCCTGGGAGAAAAATATATTTGAATTGATGCATGGCAGACCATTACCACAAGACAATCTTTTGGAAATAGTAACCCTAAAGTATCTATTCTGACTTAAAAGGGAGGCTTAGGAGTATGGGTTCCTGAAGAAATCTATGATATTTGTTTTCCTAGTAACTTTTAATATGCCTTAGTGGAATAATGGGAATAGAATTTAGAGAAACTAGTCTATAAATCTTAATTGGTTGATAGGTATGTTAATAAGTGGCAAAGAGAAAATGTACATATGGGAATGACATCTTCCTATATTTGAGTGGAAACCAAACACTGATGACCATACTTTAATTCCGTTGTAAATGACTGAAAAGTTACCATTACATTTAAACATATCCAATAATCAATTTGACTTATAAGGAATATTCCAAAGTGAGGAATTGTCTAAAAAATTTAAGCTACTACAATAAACATAAAAGTAAAAACTTGCTCCTGTTTACTTGGCATCAAAAGCTTCAAATTATGCAGTCTGACCAAACATCAAGAATAAAACAACTCTGGCTACTAAAAAACAAAAAACAAAACAAAATAATGTTAATGTAATACAATAATGAAAGAGAAACCAAACAAACCATAGATGTGTTAATATTTTCAGGACTATTTCCACAAGTTTCTTTTGCTTTTGGGGTCCTTTATGACCAATCAATACCAGTACAACCCAGAAGTTGCCTAGTTATCTGAAAATCCTGAAACATTTAAAATCATGTGCCATTTCCTCTATTCACTGCCAGATACTAGTAAATGAGATGTAG